TGGCGAGATCAGAGATCGATCATTAATTTTTAGGATGATATTAAGATATCTTATCCACTTGAACAATGTTCGAATTGGAAAAATATGAATGTCATATTAACTGCACTAAACTATATATAAGCCTTCAATTTTGCATCTTATAGATCTCCAAAGTACTATCCCAAAGGGATAGCTTGGGATTTCAAGGAATATACAATTTCACCAAGCAATAACCTCTTGCGTACGTAGGCAATGGAGACAGTGCAAGGCATGGAGGCAAAAACATCAAATGATCGCCGACTCTTGGGGAATAAAAAAAAGTCTATGAACTTACAATTTTGTGTCTAGGATCCGTAAATTTTAAAAAATATCGAAAATTTCAAGACGAACCTGTTGTATATACACATAAGTCCTTTTTTCAGGGTAAAAAACATAGTTAAAGAGGAAGAATAATGACGATGATGGGCATGGATGTGGAGGGTAGAAATGGAGTAAAAAGGAGAGGGAGAAAGTGAAAAGAGAAAAATGTGGATGAGAGAGGAGAGAGAAAGGAGGGGGCAGCGGGCAGCGGGCAGGCCCACCATATATTCTGAAAGAAATTCGGTGGCAGAGAGAGGTGAGGCAATGGAGTTTTAAATTTCTTCTTCTTTAGGGTTGATTTTGACAACACTTTTGTTTGGCACATGAAGCCCACGTTACCCTCTCTCTCTCATATTCTTCATTCCATCTCATATTCCTTATCCACCAATAATATAATATTCACCAACTTTCTTTTTATATTATTCTAAGATTTAAATTCGGAAGTATACCGACTTAATTAGTTGAGCTGTATTTAAATTAATTTGGTTTGGTCATAAACACGATCCAATTGAATAATGCTTCTAAGTAGGAGAATTTAATTTTAATTGTTTGTTGCTAAGTTTTTTACAGGTGAGAAAGAGGAGGGTAAAGAGGGTAAGAGAAGAGATAAAAAATTTAGTTGGAGTCGTTGTTGCCTAGTTTGTTGAGAGGTATTGTTGTTGGCTTGATGAGTAAATGTTCATTGAATTGTATCTGAAACTAAATGTGGTAAGTGAAGTGTTTAGGCTGTGAAACCACTTTATTTATTTATTTATTTATTATTATTATTATTTTATTTTTTTTGAAAGAGTTAGCGGGTTAAGTTGAGATTTAATTTGGCTTGTGGGTTATTACTCACAAAATAAGAAAATAAGAAAAATGAATTTTTACTCTCAACTTTCCATTTATCATATATATAATCGAGAACCGATGTCGTGCGGCTTTATCTAGAAGACGATCTCTATAACTCTAGCGGCATTTGCAACTAACGCAACATTCAAATTGACGGTAAGGGACTCAATCTAGATATCGGGTGAGAATCCCCACCCAGACGCTCTCTCGGGACTCGAATCAAGTTGGGAGGTGTTCTCATCCAACCCAAGTCCACTTCGCCACATCTATAGGTGTAATAAGTATATATTATGATTCTCATTTACTTTTAATAAATTATAAAACGTGTTGTTGAAAAATGTCTTCAAGTAAGATTTTTTACGAAATTTGATTATTTTGACACATCCTTATTCTATAATTGATATTGAGCATTGATCCTACTTAATTTTGTGCCAGAATTAATTTTGATTAAGTTATAAATTAGAGGGTTAGTATGAGATTTTTACCTTTGCTTTGTCCAAGATCTAATTTTATTTTCCCTATAAATAATTATTCTTGGCCCTAATGATGAAAATTGGACCTTTCAACATTTCCTATCATTTTCTAGTGGAAAAGGGCATGAGAGCTCAGTTAGATTAGATGGAATCAAGTGAGATTCTCTTTTTTGAGATAATTTAGTCTCTTTGATTAGACATTAGATTTTGATTTTGTCATCAACTTTATCATTTTGACCCACAAGTCATTGCATAATAATTTTCTTTACAATTATAAACAATCTAAATCTACACATCCAATAAAATTAAATACTATATAATAATACTTTATCACCATTTTATTTTTTCAAATTAATCTAATTCAATGCAAAAAAAAAATTAAGGGCTCGTTTGTTAATATTTCCGTTTTTTGTTTCTCGTTTCCAATTTTCTTAAGAAATTTAAGTATCTTTCAACTAACTTTGTTTCTTGTTTCTCCTTTTTTGGAACAGTCTCACAATTGTATAGAAATTTTGGAAACAACTAAAACTAGTTTCTCTTTTCTTGTTTCTATTTCTAATTTGTTCCAAAAACATAAATAAAAATATTGTTTTATCAATTCTTAAAGGTTGGAACCATGCAATACAATTTTCTTCATTAAAAATAAAGAAACAGAAACAAGAAATATGAACATTGTCAAACGAGCCCTAAAAGTCTAGGTTTACAAAGTTTAGATCCTTGTATAGCCCATACTTGTATTTTCTATATTTGGATTATGTAGAGAAATAGATTTCAAAAATCTATGTTTGGTTTGTCTATTTGTATTTGTAAACAACAATTTGGAGCTTGAAAGAATTTTTTTTTTTCATTTTCTAAATTAAACAATTGATAATAGATGTTCTATCTACAGAGCTACACTCAATTTGAAAAAAGAGGTGGTTGTTCACAAGTTGTACAAACCTAGACACCTTCTAAACAACTTGGATTCTCTTCGATTTTACTCACTTTGATTAAAGTTCTTCGATCTGATCCCAATCTAATACGAGCAATCATCGGCCAATTATGCTTAATTCTAACAAAGGACAAATGCTTCTCGAGACTAGCTTCCCGATAGGGAAAACTACATGGATAAGATCGAACAAAACATGACATAGGACCAGTTGAATAGAAGAACATGTCTTCCCATGTTATATCATGTTACCAAAGGGAGGCATAAGAACTATTAATTAGCACACCAAAAGGAAAATGATAGGACAGTGATTGCAAATAGAAAAAAGGTGGAGAAAAATCAAGGTAATTACATATAAAAGATGTTTGAAAACCCTAAATTGACTTGCAATGGAAGTGCTTTTTAAGGGCTCCTCATAAATTTGAAGGACCCACCTTCATAAGATAAAATCACCAAAAATTGAGGCCTAAGTGAGGGAAGGATTGAGCTTGACATCCCATTTAATTTGCAGGCTCAATCATCGCTCGATATTAAATTTCCGTCGACATTTCAATATGTCTATAAATTCGACATCGATATGAAACACTGGATCGACATTTCAATAATGTCGCAAAAAAATTGACAACATATAAAAACATCAACATAATATATCATTCCTATGGACATAATGTTAATGCTAATCATTTTAACTTAGTTAGAAAGTGTGAAATGTTTATTTGTTAATTTAAATATTTGTTACGAATTTTTTATTTTTATAATTTTTCTAGAATTATTTATCTATATCGACAATTTATCAATATTTATATTGATATTTCCATAAATTTGATATCTCCACCAATGATATTCGATTCTGATAGAGTAGAGGAGAAATTTGAACCATCCTATGCAGTGAAGTGAAACTAATTTTAGAGATGAGGAAAGAGAATATATTCTTTGCCTTTATTCCGATCTTGCCCCTAATCACCAAACTTGTATATGTATATGTTATACAATAATAGTTAAATTGATAAAAGGATAAGTAAATATTGCTTAATTTTATCCATTTTTTTGGCATAAAAACCTTTGTAAATATTTTATTAATATTAAATTAAATCTTTATTTACAAAAAGAATAAAGTTTCTTTTTCAAATATTTTAAGAATTGCTTTACATGAAACTGGACCAGCATATCAAAAAGCTTGGGCTTTATCCTAGCCCAACTCACAATGTCACAGTCTCTCGAAAAATAATAATAATAATAATAATAATAATTAAGGAAAAAAAAAGGCTATCTACATATGAATACCTTATATAGTGAATAATTACAAATCTTATTACTTTTAAAGTAAATTACATATACTAATAAAGGAAAGAATTTACAATTAAATCTAGGTAAATATCTGAAAGATTTTAAATTTATATTAATGGAAGCTTTTATTGGAGCTCTAAAGGATCCTTCTGAATTAGACTCTGCCAAAAAGAAAAAGTTCTCTAAGATAAAAGATTGGGTCGAAAGTTTGATGTCTCATCCTGAATTAAAAAAATTTATACATAAAAAAGTAACGACGTTTGGGTTAATTATAAAAGATTTTCCTAAAACCAGCGGGAAGACAACACTCTATGCTCTTATGAGATAAAATATTAAATTTATAGGAGGATATATAATGACGTGACATGTGTCACAATCATAGTATTAAATATCTAGTAGACATGTCCATCGACATTTTTCCATGTATCCATAGATTTGACATTAATATGAGAAATAAATTAACATTTCCATTGTATTAAAAAAAATGACAAAATATAAAAAATATCTATAAAATGTCATTAATATATACATATATTAATATTAAACATTTTTTATTAATTTATATATTTTTTATGATTTTTTAATTTATCTAAATTTTACAGTGACATCGACATTTCGAAGATATTTTCATAATATTGAAATCGTGATATTTCCATCTAAGTATATCACCACGGATGTAACTGATCCAAACTAATTCTCGGCCTTTAGGTTCGACTTATTACTTCTTACTTCGAACAAGTTCATAGACAATCAGTCTCACAATTGTTTAACTCCCCACTACTATAATTGCTGAATCTACGTCGATATTCACGAGACGTGTCAAGTAGACAGATTACTGTTCTTGTTCTTCAATGCCTATAAATACTAGAGGTCGCTCAGTACGTCTATTTTGTGTAGGTTCTCTCCCGAAACAAGCATTAATATTTTGGTTAAAACAAAGTTTGTTCTAAGGCATGGAACTTTGTTGAATTGAACCAGAGCATTAAGGTGGACGACGATTAATCTGAATACCCCATTACAGGTTTTGAAGAAATTCCAATTCTGCAACAAAGAAAATTCAATTCCAACTCGAAGAAAGCAAAAGTCCACAAATTCAATTCTAGGAAAGCAAATTCCAATTGCTATGTCAGAGAGAGAGTGTATGATCAGAAGGACGAATCATTGAGTTGTATAAATTGCCCATTTCAAACAAATCTACAAATTCCCTTTCGCAAATCATCCTCAAAGAGAACGAGGAAGGAAACAAATCGAATTTCTACTGTACAAAATTGTGGCTTTATGTTCTATCTATTCTTATTGGGCGTTTCTCGTCTTCAAGAATTCGCCAAGCGAGAAGTGACTTCGAAGAACACATCTTCGTTGCAAGGGATCGTCAAACCCCCCATTGGATGATCGAATCCGAACTCTTCTTCGGCTTTACTCAACAGATCTTGAAACGACGGATGCTTCAAGAAAGATATCGGAATCACATGTCGTCTCTTCTGGGTTTCTCCAACGTAGACTGCGAAAAACCCCTTTGGAACAGTCGACGACGATTTCCTTGGGCTGTTTATCAAACGGAATCCCATGGTATGTATCTCAAAGAATTTTGATTTTTCTGGGTTGTTTTTGTTTCTGTGATTGGAAGATCTGGGTTGGTTTGTGTTTGTGATTCAGAGAAGAGAATGTGTGTGTGTATTTATAGGTGAGAATTCCAGTGAACTTTTCTTTCTGAAATCTTTTGTGTGGTGAAGAGGCAAATGGATTATGAAGAGTGGCACATGGAATTGTCTTCCAACTTGCAGCTAAGATTTGGGACTGCAAACATCACAGTGTCTATTAGGTGACAAACATCGATGTCCTACAAACATCAGAAAATAGGGAGTAGAGAGCTGCCTAAAAATTTGAAATGGACGGTTTGATACCTGACCCTTTGGTTAAGGACATGATCAGGACACTGATATTCGAAGATGATGGCGGGTTGAGAAGAGTTTGGTATGGATGTAGACCCCAAGGAAAGAAGGAAACCGAGGCAAGGGAAAAACTCAGGCAAAATGTGGTGTCTAATTTGACAAGAGAACAGGAGAAGGGAATGGATTTGGCTCATTCAGCATTTAATAGGGGAGGATAATCCATGGAAACAGTAAGAGGGGAAAGGAGAAAACAACAGGAAGGAAATGGGATAGGTTCCCCATTCTGAATCGACCGAACCAAATAAAGTCATTACAAGACAATGAAATATAAGCCACTACTTTCTGATGGTTCAACTTGACTGTCTGGATTGCAAGGATTTTTCTTACTCCCATGTCAGGACCCTCAAAAAGATGGTTTTGCTGATGTCAGAACCTCATGAGAATTGTGAAAACTGAAAAGATCTACCTGGCAAAAGAGAAAGAGGTAACTTTTGTATTTTGTTTTCTTGTTAACTTTTATGGATGAATATGGAGTCAAGTGTCCATATGAATGAGGCCATTTATTTTTCCTTTCATTTAGTATTTGCGCTGCTAATGTAAAACAATTTATTTATATAGCCAGAGGAAAGTTGCCCACAACCTTCTGCTTAAGTTGTTAATAAATAACTTCAAGTTATTAGTTTTATGGTCATGAATGGAAGGTTCTGTTAGGCTTTGAATTAAGAAGAAATGAACTCAGTTTTCGACTGTCGCTCGGTATATAATTATGTTGTAGAAGGAAGAGGATTTGGTCATATATTTTTTGTCAATATAGGAATAGGATTGTATGAGCACTTTCATTCAACAATATTGTACCATACAAATAGCCAACTGTCCAAAATAATAAAGGAAAGAGAGGGGGAGGTTGAGGATGTACAAGGAAAGAAGAAAAAAAGGTAAACTGTACAATTTACAAAAGGAAAGAAATAAATGCAAAAGGACAATGGGCCTAAAGAATGGGCTTTTACTAAATGGACTCAACAGTCATATATTCGAATTAGAAGTTCTTGTCAATATAGGATTGCAGAGGAATGTACATATGCCCATTATGTATGAACAAAAGCTATTGGCCTGCATAGCTTCAATGAGGCCCTAGAAGTATATCTGCATGTAAAATGGAGAATGAACTGATATCTCTATGATACAACCCTTTTTCAAAAAATCTTAAAGCAGCATTTAAGCAGCTGGCAGCAACATATTTATATTGAATTGCCAAGAGAACAAAATAATTAGAAATTAAGAGAAAAAGAGGAAGAAATAGAGTCCTTTTGTTAGCAATAAAAATTCTTGACTTTCAATCACATTCACTGAATGTTTACAAAGAATGGCTAACTTAACCTATTTTATTCACACTGAACTGAAGTGGTTGGTTCCATGCTTTGGACAGTTCATATATCTGGGGTTTAACAATTTATGTGTCTCCAATTATCATTATTGTACGTCTTTCATGGACTGAGTGGAAGATAGAACGCATCAAACTGCAGGCTTTTGTGGGAACTAAATAGAACTTGAATTTGCAATAGTTCTATTGCAAGCCAGAGAAAAATTTTTGGTCTGGGAGATTTTGGAAAATGTTTTCAACATGAATTGCCAATTGTCTTGTAGCATATCTGCATCATCTGGAGCCATCTACCTTCAGGCTGCTCTGCTGACCGAGTAGTTAAACAGATTTCGGAATCACTTTCTGTCTGTATCTTCCCAAATTGGAGTAGACATTTGTAATGCACTCAATTTCCACTAAGGAGGAAAGAAACATGCCTCAAGTTTCAATTTTCTTTGCTAAGCTGGAAGCTAGATCGGTGAAGATGTTTTCAAGTAAGATATCGGTACTATATGTCGCTTCTTTTGCTCCTCTCCAACATAGACTGGGATGTACCCTCTTGGAATGTTGTTGGATACTGAAGAAGATCCTGTATTTGAAGCTACTCGACGAAGAATCTGCTTGACATGCATGATACAAGGTAATCTGATAGCCATATTTCCCTATCTTTATATTTTATATTTGTGTGAGATAGGTTTCCTTGCAAAGAATATGAATATTCGAAATGGGTATACAATCACATAATGTGTGTATATATAGATGATGAATTAATGGTGAAGAGTCTATAAAATTGTGGCCATGCTAAAGTGGGTGCCACTTCAGGTTGAACATTGAAAAATCTGCAAGAATCATCACATGAGTGTGTTTTCAGACTGATCAATAGAGATTGCATAGTAATTGTGACTGTAAACTTGTTGACATACATATTGTCCCCAACCATTCCAGAACGAACGCCCTAAAAAGGACCCCACTTTCAATTAAGCTAGGAAAAGTAGTACTAGTAGTAGTGTATAAGAATCATTTATGGATAGCACATGGTTCTGTTTTCTGACTTACCATCAAAACATGGTTCTCATTGGTAGTGTATATTGGTAGGCGTACAATCTTAGGTACCACTACTTGGTGAACAACCCTACATGGCTCCCATGTAAAAATATGGTAGATTTATGAGTATTAACCTCACTTGAATCAAATGCATAATCTAATATCAGTCCAGCTTCTTGATTAGACAACCCGAGTACTTTCATAATCACAATAATTAGTCTCTTAAATAGAAGTTCTATGAATCTAAACTAAATACTTTTCCTCTGTACTCTGATAATCATAGTAATTAGTCCCTTAAATAGAAACACGATGAATCTAAACGAATAAATTTTGATTTGTACTTTGATAATCATAATAATTAGTCTCTTAAATTGAAATTCGATGAATCTAAACTAATTACTTTTCCTGTTTCATGGTGACCTTAAACCAACAAATTATTAATTAGGTTTCTAGCTTGCTGAGGTCTTGAATTAATCGTCTGAAATTTCTTGCATTCTTGGTTACTGGTTAGTTTCTTACTGATTCAGTTTTCAAATTTCTTTGTGAGCTTCCTTTCAAATAAAAGCAATCATATACATAAAGATTGACATAAACTTGATACTTTGGCTAAAAATATCAGAGTCAAATACTATTTTGTTGCAAAGTGCTTGCTTAAGAAGTTCTTCAGAAATCGTAATATTGATCAAATTATTAAAGGTGCATAGAAGAAAACTTGAATGGTTTTCTTGACCACTTGATCGAAAATTCTAATATAAAGAAAAGAAAAGAACAGACTGCATCAAGTTTTTAGAGCATTAGTTGGTTAGAAAATTTTCTTTTACCTATAATTGTAAGTTGAAAACCATGGTTCATTGATGCCTTCTTAGAAAATGTTATTTGAATTTTTCTGGCGAAGAATAACTTTTGCCATTCTTGAACTACATAATTACCATATGGAGCAAATGTGGTGGGGAAGTGGAAGAAAGAAAGATACTCCAATCAAGTAGTTTCATCATTCAGTTTCGATAATAAAAAGAATTATGAACAATAAAACAGATTCAATACAAAGAATCAAGTTCTCTCATTTCAAAAATGCTTATCATCTACATTTTGTACTATTCTAATCCTCTTTCTGTACCATACTATCTACTTTCAGATATCAATCCCTCTGGTTCATCTGAGTGAGATTGAGAAAAGTATCTTCACTACATGGAATTGTGATGCCACCCATTGGATGATCATATCCAAATTCTTCTTCTGCTTGACTCAACAGATCTTGAAATAAAGGCTGATTCAAGTAAGATAGCGGGATGACGAAACGCTTCTTTTGTTCCTCGCCAATATAAACTGTGAAGTAGCCTTTTGGAATGTCTACAGCTTTTGGAGATGCTCCATTTCCTGTTGACGTAGATCGTCGAAGACTTTGCTTAGCATGAACAATACTAGGCAAACGGAAACCCATGATGGTATGGTATTTCTCAAAAAAGATTCTGAAAGGATCACCGAACTTGGAAAATTATTTTGATAATTGAAATATGGAAGACTCTTGTTGGTTCTGAACCCAATTACACGACCTTTTATATAGATGATAGTCTTTGGTTTCTCAGAGATAAAGACGTTGACAAGGCAGAAATATGAGATTCAATGCTAGAGAGACAATAGTTCATGACCTATCACATGGATGTGACTTACCAAGCCATTATGAGAATTTCAATATCATGTGATATATGGGCATTTTGTATGCTTTGTGGAGAAACATCATGGCCTACTTTGGTCTCCAAATAACAACTGGAGAAGTGAGTTGAGTAAATCTCTAAAATTTTAATAGGATCAAGGACATCACTCAAACCCTTGTTGTTCTTTGGTGGAACAAAATTTGAATTGCATTTAATGGCTATGTCTGCTACATTTTGCTTTAGTGGAAAAGATTCCAGCTAAGGAACTTTGTTGGTCGTTAGTGCTATCAGTGAACTCAAAAAAAATCTTAAGCACGGATACCGTGGTACAGCTAAAACTTACAGTTGCAAAGGAATGCTAAATAGTACAGGATATAAGTAAAAGAGAGACCCTATTATTACCAAAACTTTTTAGCTATTTAACTTGAGTGCCTAGTTTTTGCATTGATATTTGCACATCACTTTGTCAAGATCCTAAATGGTGCATAGCAAGGAGAAGCAATGGCTCTGATTGTTCTCAGGCGAAGTGCATTGTGAATATCCTGACAACTGGTAAAAGAGGGGAAGCTACATTTGGTATATTAAACTGTAATGGATGAATTTGCAGTCAGTCTTCCGTTACATTAAATAATTGTGCTGTTAATGTCTCCAGTGACTTTTTCCTTAGTGAACTCTCTCATGGCATCATTAACACTCATGTTGTTGTCCAGAAAAGGAGTCCTTTGTTTCTCTCTTGATGGGGTGGTGTTCTTTATGCAAGAAAAAGGATGGAACTCAAGTTTTTCTCTTCAGCTTATGTTCATTTGATTCTGCTCTTTGGTCATATTTTCAGCACTGTTTTTGTTGGCAAGCTGTTCTCCCCAGTGACGTTTAAAGGCTTGCTCTCTCTTTCCCTTGAAGGCCACCCTTTTACGAAGGATAAATAATTTTTATGGCTTAATTTCTTTGGTGAGAGCATCAGCTTGGCTTTTGTGGCTTGGAAGGAATAATAGGGTTCTTCAACAATAAAGACAAGCCTTTTGGAAGCTTCATGGATTATGTCTTTTTGTTGCTCTCTCATGGTGTAAATTTTATGCTCCTCACAATACTTATAGTCTATCTTATCTTCCTACCAATTGGAAGACCTTTTTGTAACTTCCCCGGCTTCGGGATTTTTTATTTCCTCCTCTTTTTGTAATTTCGTTCAATCAATGAAATTGTCTTTTTTTCTTTAAGGGAGACCATTGAGTCATTATCCATCTGTAAATAGCCAGAGGAAAGTCACCACAACCTTTACATAAGTTGAATAACTTGAAGCTTTAGTTTCATTGTTACAAATGAAAGATCCGTTTAGGTTTTGAATTAAGAACTGAACTTAGATCGCTTTCGAAACATTTGCACAGTACATAATTACGTTGTAAGGTTGTCCATACTTACACTTACTAGTATCATCTTCATCACTTTCACACTTCTTAGCACTTCCGTTTTTCCTTTTGGAAGAACCATGGTTTTATTTGTCATTACTTCTACAGAATTTCAGGACTGTCGATGGAAAGAACTGAAAGACTCAAAAGTCATTAAGAAACTTAGAATATATGTGGGATGTGGCAATAATTTAATGCTAGGTCTTTTGATCTAGTGACTGACTGTAATTTTTTTTTTTCCTTCTTTCCTTTGTTTTGGCATAAATAGTGTCCACAACCATTCCAGAATTAAACATCCTAAAGAGGACCCCACTTGCAGATAAAGCTAGGGAAAAGTCATAGCAGTGTACTAGAGTCATTTATGTACAGCACATGGTTCTGTTTTTCTGACTTATCATCAATAACATGGTTCTCATTGGAAGGTGTACAATCTCAGCTACCATTGCTTGGTGAACAACCTTACATGGATCCAACTTAAATCTGTGGTGCATTTATGATTATTAACCTAACTTGAATCAAGTGCATAATCTAATATCAGTCCAGCTCCTTGATATGACTATACTCATTACTTTGATAATCACAGTAATTAGACCCTTGAATAAAAATTCAATGAATCTAAGCTAACTAATTTTCCTATTGCATGGTGACCTTAAACTAACAAATTCTTAATTTGGTTAGATCTTGGGTAAACCATCTGAAAGATCTTGCACAGTAGTATAACTTCTTAATGATTCAGTTTGAAATTCCCAAGTGAGCTTCCACCTCAAAAAAAATCATACTGATACGTAAGTATTGAAATAAAATTTTAACTTTGGCTGAAAAAAATAGTCAAATACTATTTTGTTACAAGTGCTTGCACTTGAAGTACTTTGGGAATCATGATATTAATCATATCATTGAAGATGAATAGAAGAAAATTTGAAAGTTCTTCATCACCTCTTGATTAACAATTCAAATAAAAAGAAATTAGCTAAAAACGTTGGCTTGGATTGAAAGTACTACTTATTTTTGGTGAAGAAGAATCAAGAGATCTCCTTACCAATTTTGAACTACATAACCACTAAATAGAGCAAATGAAGGGGGAGAAGAGGAAGAAAGAAAGATATTCCAACCAATAGTATCATTCAAAATTATGAACGCTATTAACTTCAATTCAAAGAATCAAGTTCTCTCGTTTCAAAAATGTTTGTAGTATACATTCTATACTATTATGATTCTTTTCCTGTACTACCTAGTTTTCTAAATCAATCCCTCTAGTTCATGAGTTGTTTAAACTCTGCGTGAGACTGAGGAAAGTGTCTTCACTGCAAGGAATTGTGATGCCACCCATTGGATGATCATATCCAAATTCTTCTTCTGCTTGACCCAACAAATCTTGAAAAGAGGGCTCGTTCAAGTAAGATAGTGGGATGACAAAACGCTTCTTTTGTACCTCACCAACATAAACTGTAAAGTAGCCCTTTGGAACGTCAACAGCCTTTGGAGAAGCTCCATTTCCTGTTGATGAAGATCGTCGAAGACTTTGCTTAGCATGAACAATTCTAGGCAAACGGAAACCCATGTTATGATATTTTCCAAAAGGAAGAGTTGGAAATTTCTTTCAATAATTGGAATATGGAAGACTCTTGTTGATTGTGAACTCAAATAGCATGACCTTTATATAGATGAAAGGCTTTAGGTTACCCAAAGATAGAGACAAGGCAGAAAGATGAAATTCAGTTGCAGAGAGACATTAGCTCATGGCCTATCACATGATGTGTGTTCCAAGCCATTATCAGTATTTCAAATTCATGTGCGGAAACATCCTGGCCTACTTTTGTCTCCAGATAAGAACTGATAACAACTGAAGGAGTGAGTTGAATAATCTCTAAAATCTTTAATAGGACGTGGACATATTAGCGGCACTTCAGCCCTTGTTGTCCTTCTGATGAAACAAAATATTAATTGCATTAAATAGCTATGTCTATTATGTTTTACTTCTGTGAGAAAGATTCCAGCTAAGAAACTTTGTTGTTTGTTGGTGCTAGTAGAGAATTCAGAAAATTCTTTAGCACGGATACCGTGGTACACCGAAACTTAGAGGTACCAAGAATGTGAAATAGTACAGGATAGGAATATAAGAGGGATTCCATTGTTAGCATTTTTTTGGATGTAAGAAACCCGCATCCATAACAACACAATTGAACAAACGCCATAACTTCTGAACTATTCTACTTGAGTGCCTATTTTTGTATTGGTATTTTAACATCCTCGTGTCAAAATCTCATGTAACTTCCTTTCTCTCTCTGAGAAGATGTTGATGTATTATAATGTTAAGAGTTTGATATTACATTTATGGGTTTTCTATATTTACATTCATCCTCCTTTTCCAACGGTTTCATATAATTGGACATTGAACCTTTCATATGATGGAAGTTGCGGTGTATTGGGTGCCATTATGTGCGGTATTCACGAATCACGGTGCTGCCGTACAAAATACCTCATTTGAAGATGGTGATGGTGCAAATACATTCAATGCTTTTAACTATGTTTTTGACTCGAGGAGAGCAAACTTATTCATTTAATCCCAAATTTTTGGAGTTGCTTTTTCCAGTGATCGCTGGTTATATTTCTTTATGTTTTTGTGCTAGTAATCGGTTTATGGATGAGTGCTCAGGGTAATTGGTCTGCCCTGGAACCTATGTGCCAAGGACTTTGTTTCTTATAAAATTAGTGCAGCAAAAGATCCTGAATTTGATACTTTCTGTACCAAAAGTATTCTCTTAAACAAGGAGGATAATAAACTACCCTTGGATTATAGCGAGTTAATGTGTGCATACATATTGCTTGATAAATTTTTTGGGAAACTACCCTTGGAGGATAACAAACTGTTCTTCCACTAACTGCACTCACTAAGAAGTTGAGCCTGACTAGCAAAATATATATTGCTGTGTACGTTCACCAATGATCAAAAACTTACACAGGATCAAAAAGTTACACAGTGTCACCCTTACAATTCTTAAGGTGAGGAACCTGTTATTGATTAGAATGAAAAATCTCTCTTGAATGTGCTTAATTGTTAACTGCCAGATGTTAGTTCTATTTCTTGCTAAGACTATATTGTACATTGTTAAAATGAGTTTATAGTAGTTCATTGAAAGAACGACCAAGTTGTTTCTCCCAAATTATGCTGATCGATTTTTTTCCTAGATTTTCATCCAATTTTCGTCAGTATAACGTAGAATTTATTGATCAACGTATTTCCAGCATAATTTAAGCTTATCTCCGTTGTAAATTTTTAGTGTACGATCAAACAATAAAAATAAAATGTAAACAAAGTTGAAGGAAAAAAAATCATTTTGTTGGCACCAAGAAGCCTTCTACATTCAATTTCATTCAGATCAATATTTACAAGAATTTGTGAATCCGTTCTAATTTGTTGACATTGAACTGAAGCAGCTGGTTAAATCTTCGGAAAGTTCATATTTCTGTGGTTGAACCATTGATGAGCCATCTGATTATCATTCTTGTCTCTCAAATATGACATCAAATTGCTGGACATTTCAAGTATTGATCAGACTCAGCTTCTATCATGTCTGCATCTTCTCGAGCCATCAAATCTGCATTATGTCACTCAATTTTGAAGCAATAAGAGAAGGAATGTGCTTCAATTTCAATCCTCTCCTAAGCAGGAAGCGAGATCAGTGAATACATTGTCTCTGCAGGGAATTGTGAGGCCTCCCATTGGATGATCATATCCAAATTCTTCCTCTGCCTTACTGAGCAACTTTTGGAATGATAGCTCATTCAAGTAAGATATGGTACTAAATACCGCTTCTTTTCCTCCTCTCCAACATAGACTGGAATGTACCCTCTTGGAACATTGTTGGAAACCGAAGAGTCGGCAGCATTTGAAGCTACTCGACGAAAAATCTGCTTGACATGCACGATACGAGGTAGTCTAACACCCATATTTGCCTCTCTTGATCTTGAATTCCGTGGAAGAAGATTTGAACTTCACAAAAGAAGATTGAATATGGATATAGAATCATATAATATGTGTATATATAGATGACTATTAAATGGTCAAGAGTCTTCAAAATGTGGATATGCTAATGTGGGTGCCACTGCAGGACGAACAGTGGAAACATGTGGGAAAAATCATCACATGGGTTTGTTTTATAACTGATTGATAGTGAATTGGTAGTGATTGTGACTGCATATTTGTTGGCATACATATTGTCCACCACCATTCCAGAATGAACATCCTAAAAGGGCCCCACTTTCAAATAGAGCTTGGAAAAAATAGTAGCAGTATATTAGAGTCATTTATGGATAGCACATGGTTCTGTTTTCTGACTTATCATCAATAACATGGTTCTCATTGGTAGTGTATTTGGTAGGTGTACATTTTCAGCTACCATTGTTCGGTGAATAACCCCACAAGGACCCCACATAAATCTGTGGTAGATGTATGAGTATTGTGCAAACCATACTTGAATCAAGTGCATAATCTAAAACCATTCCAGCTTCTTGATTAGACATCATCAATACTTTGATAATCATTGTAATTAGGCTCTTAAATAGTAATTCAATGAATCTATACAAATGAATTTTCCTATTTCATGATGACCTTAAACTGACAAATTCTTAATTTGTTTTCATCTTTTTCAACTTTGCCAAAATCTTCTGAGATCTTGAGTTAACCATCTCAAAGATCTTGATTAATAATTTGAAAGAGAAATGAGTTAGCAAAAAATATTATGTAGGATTACAACTAGAAGTAGTCATTTCAAATAGTATCATCCAGTTTATGTTAGACTTTCCAGTCAATAGTATCATTCAAGTAGCTTCATTTCATCATCCACATGAAAAGAACTATGAAAAATGTAGAACAATTTCAATTCAAAGAATGAATCAAGTTCTCTCATTAAAAATGTGTATTCAGTCTACATTATGTACTATTCTAATCCTTTTTCTATACTATCTATTTCTAGACACTAATCCCTCTAGTATGAGTCACTCAAACTTTGAGAGAGAGCGAGTAAATGGTCCTCACTGCAAGGAATTGTGATGCCACCCATTGGATGATTATATCCAAATTCTTCTTCTGCTTGACTCAACAAATCTTGAAAAGAAGGCTCATTCAAGTACGTTAATGGGATGACAAAACGCTTCTTTTGTACTGCACCAACATAAACTGTAAAGTACCCCTTTGGAACGTCCACAGCCTTTGGATATGATCCATTTCCTATCGATGAAGATCGTCGAAGACTTTGCTTAGCATGAACAATTCTTGGCAAACGGAAACCCATGTTACAATAGTTTCCAAAAAGAACTATGGGACCCTGAAAGGAATACTGAACTCAGGAATTTCTTTTGAGAATTGGAATATGGAAGACTCTGGTTGATTGGGAACCCAAATAACATGACCTTTATATAGATGAAAGGCTTTAGGTTACTCAAAGATAGAGACAAGTCGTGGAGTGAGATTCAATGGTAGAGAGACATTAGCTTATGACCTATCACATGGATTGGTCTTCCTAGCCATTATGAGAATTTCAAATTCATGTGATATATGGTCATTTTGTATACCTTGAGCAGATACATCATGGCCTACTTTTGTCTCTAGATAACAACTGGAGAAGTTTGTTGAATAATCTCTGAAATTGTATAGGATTATGGACATATTGGAGGCGTTCAAGCCCTTGCTGTCCTGGTGAAATAAAATTTAATTGCATTAATTAGCTGTCTATTACACATTGTTTCAGTGGGAAAGATTCCAGCTAAGAAACTTTGTTGGTTGTTAGTGTTACCATAGAAAAAAAATCTTGAGCACGGATACTGTGGTACAACTGAAACTTAGTCGTAGAAATAATAGCAGCATCGTACAGGATGAAAATAGACGACATCATTAAGTCATTATTAGCATTTCATTGGATGAAAATAGACAATTGAATATAAACTTTTTGTCTACTTAACTTGATTGCCTATTTTTTCATTGAGCTTCGCCCATCCCATGTCAAGCTAGTAAGTGACTGCAGAGCAAGGAGATATATTGGCTTTGCTCGTTCTTTTGTGAAGTTCATTGTGAATATCTGCCCGGAAATTGCTTAGGAAAGAAGCTTCATTTGGCAAATTAGAATGGTAATGGATATGTCTACAATATTTCTTCATTATTCTAAAATAAATATTTATCCCTTACACTTAGTTAATTGAAATACTTGCTTAATTTTGATGCCTAAGTTTTCCTTCCGCTACTTCGATTTTCTTTTTTCTCTAGTCTTATTTTGTTAATTACATTACCATGGTAGATTCTCCATGAACTCATTGTTCCTTATTTTCTCCTTTTTCGTTCTCTGATAAGATATAGATGACGTATAGTGATGTTGGATTTTGATATTACATTTTTGGGTGACCACAAAATAAAATAAGAAAACTCATTGTGTACCATCAGCAATGATCAATGTGTATACATATTGTTCAATAATTTCTTGGGGAGCTGCCTACCCCAAGTTGAAGTAAAATTCAGTCACTACTAACTGAATTCGCATAGAAATTGGACCTGATTGGCAGTGTATATACTGCTGTGTACATTTTCAACGATCAAGAACTTCCGCAGGATCACAGTTCCAATTCTCAAGGAGTGGATTGCAAACTCTCTTGAATATGCGAAACTGTTAACTGACAGATGTTAGTTTTATTTCTTGACAAGACTTCTTATTGTACGTGGGGTTCTGTATAAGTTCATTGAAAGAAAGAATAAGCTGTTTTTCCCAAATCATGCTGGTCTTAGCTAATTCTTCGTTGTTGATTTGCATACAACAAATGTTCGCCGTACTAAGAACCTTAAAGCTAACCTTTTGAAGATCCTTGTAATAACAGGAGGTGTCTTGCCAATTCAGTACAATGGAGGATTTGCCAATTCAGTACAACAAATTTTCTCTCTAGGCATATTGCTGTTGTAAATTTGTAATTATGACCCAAAAAGTGAAAAAAAAAAGAACAAAAAAAGAAAACATTTAGATCAATGTTTTCCATAAACTGTGAATCAATTCTAATTTGTTTACATTGAACTGATGCTTTGGGCAGTTCATATTTCTGCAGTTGAACACGATATTCCATCTGATTATCATTCTTGTCTCTCTCAAATATGACATCAAATTGCAGGGTGCTTGAAGTAGCGATCAGACCTGGATGGTTTCACAAGCCCAAGGACAATTTCGGATTGGTAGCTTCCCTTCAATCTTCTCAGTGCAAATGGCCAATTTTCGTTTCAGCATATCTGCATCTTCTCAAGCCATTCATCTTTTGAACACTATGCTTATTTTGATGGCTAGAGGGAGTATTTAATCAGACCTTGTAGCATGTCTCCTTAAGAACTTGGAAGTGGGGTAGACATTGCATTATGTCTCTCAACTTTTAAGCAAGCACAGAGCAAATGTGCTTTCGTTTCAATTCTCTGGTAAGCAGGAAGTGAGATCCATGAAGACTTTGTCTCTGCAGGCTATTGTGAGGACTCCCATTGGATGATCATATCCAAAATTCTATTGTGCAACTTTTGGAATGATGGCTCATTCATGTAAGATATCGGTACTGCATATCGCTTCTTTTGCTCCTCTCCAACACGGACTGGAATGTACCCTCTTGGAATGTCGTTGGATACTGACGAAGATTAGGCAGCATTTAAAGCTACTCGAGGAAAAATCTGCTTGACATGCATGATACAAGTTAGTCTAATACCCATATTTGCCTCTCTTGATCTTGAATTCCATGTAAGAAGATTTAAACTTCACTCTTAAGAATGAATAAATCACCACTCAACCCAAAAGCTTAAGTCGATGGGTTGGGTAAATTTAATTCATTTATATGGATTCTAACACTCCCCCTCACTTGTAGGTTTGGAAAACAACATGAAGACCCAACAAGTGGAAATTATAATAAATAGGGAGGGACAACAACGCAAGGGTTGGAACACATGACCTCTCGTTCTGATACCATCTTAAGAATGAATAAACCACCACTCAACCCAAAAGCTTAAGCTGATTGTTAGCGTACATTGGCTGGTGTACAATTCCAGCTTCCATTTCTTGGTGAACAACCTACAAGGATCCCACTTTGATTTAAAGATGTGGGGAGAAGTTTGTGAACTGTGATGAATTTGTTTCTGTTAGTCCTCTTGTTGATAAGACGTCATCAATACACTATTAATCATATTAAATACTCTCTTTAGAAGTTCTTTGTATCTAAACTAATTAATTTCCATTTCTTGACATTACAGTTTGGGAGATTCCTAAATGAGTTGCCACTCCATATCAGGGCAGAAGGTATGAGTTCTGATAATAAAATGAAAACCTTTGACTTCAAAATCCAAAATCTGGATCGAATTCTATTTCATTAACAGTGCTTGCACTATAAAGTACTTTGAAAATCATAAGATCAATCAAGTAATCAAAGATCGATTGAAGGTGAAGCTTAGATTCCTTCTTGATTAGCAAGTTTAATAAAAGGAAAAGAAATGAGCTAGTAAAAAGCAGTGTGTTAGAAATACTTGTCAAATTAGTTTTCCTTTGTTAGAAGTTTTTATTTGCCACACATATCAGTATAAGTTGAACATTATAGGTATTTTCATTTTTTTGATGATGAAGAATCATGAGATCCTTCATCCATTCATGCTCTACATGGTCTATTGGTCACTATATAAAATAAATGTGGGGGAGAAAGGAAAATAAGATTTTCAAGCAATATCATCCAGTCGTTTCATTGACCAGTTTTCAATGATGAAAACACTTTTTAACTATATAACAATATCAAAGAATCAAGTTCTCCATATTAGAGACTCTTCGTCTGTATATGTTCTATGCTATTCTAATCCTTTCTCTGTTCCTGTTCCATCTATATCTAACTGCTAATCCTTTTGGCTCATAAGTCATTTAGACTATTTGTGAGATTGAGGAAAATTTCTTCACTGCAGGGGATTGTGATGCCGCCCATTGGATGCTCATATCCAAATTCTTCTTCTGCTTGACTCAACAAATCTTGAAACAAAGGTTGGTTCAAGTAAGATAGTGGGATGACAAAACGCTTCTTTTGTCCCTCGCCAGCATAAACTGTAAAGTAGCCCTTCGGAAAGTCTGCAGCTCTCGGAGATGCTCCATTTCCCGTTGATGGAGATCGTCGAAGACTTTGCTTAGCATGAACAATACTAGGTAAACGGAAACCCATTGTGTTACAATACTTTTCAAAGAGATTAGACACTGAAGGGAGTATGCAAGTAGAAAATTGCTTCTGATGGTGGGAATGTGGAAGACTCTTGTTGATTGTGAACCCAATTACATGGCCTTTATATAGATGAAATGGCTAGAGTACTCTGAGTTAGAGAGATTGACAAGCCAAGGATTCAATGTTAGAGATCAGATCATGACCCATCACATGGATTTGTCTAGCCAGCCATTACAAGAATTGCAAATTCATGTGTTATATGGACATATTGTGTACTTATGAAGAAACATCATGGCCTACTATCATCTTTGGACATCAAATAGAGAAGAGAACTCAATAAATCTAATAAAATAGGATAGTGGGGTAGACACTCAAGTTTTTGTTCTCTAATGCCCTTCTAGTGAAATGAAATTTAATTTCATTATTTAGCCATGACTATTGCATTTTTCTTCAGAGGAATATTTCAACCAAACTTAGAAACTTTCAAGTAGTTGAAAAGATTTGGAGAACTTCTTGGGACTGCATCTTTTTCCAAAACCTCCAATCGGAAATGTCTTTCTAAAGTTTTTTTTTTCTTTTTTATTTTTGTAAATAACCCTCACTCTTTTTTAGTCAATTGGATGGCATTTATGTAATCTCCTTTTGATATTACAATTCGAGTGAATTCCTTGTCTACCATTTGTACTTTTTCTTCATCAATGAAAAGTTTTAGTTTTTTATTAAAAATAATGATTACGCTTGCTCACTTCTGATGCTTAAAGTGTGCTTTGTGCTACTTGCAAATATCTAAATAGGATCACGTTTAGAATTGAATTTGTGGATAAAATTGTTTATTCATCACATTGGATAATCTCACTTGAATATGTACTACATTATTAACTTTTAGTCTTATTTCTTAATAACACATTATTGTATGTTGTCAGAGGATTTTTGGAACCACATTGAAAGAAATACTGACCTACTTTCCCTAGATCATGCAATCTTGGCTAATTGTTGTCTTAGATTGTAGTCCATTTTGTTGATCCTGCCAAAACTTTGAGTTGAAATTTTGAAAATTTTTACAGTATTTGTGTAGTATCTTGAATTTTCAGCTTTAAACATCACTAAATGAGTAGTTGCCCAGCAGTTATCGTGCCTATAATAAATGCGGGCTAGCCAAGGGCAGAGCTAATAACTGCTAAAAGCATCTAAGTAAGCTACCTCAGAATTCTTTTGCTGCTTAAAGTCGTGAAAATTCACCAGTGTAATGTTATTGGTGCATTTACTTGCACAAATAAACATGCTAATAAAACAATGGAGGAAAAGTGTGCTTTCATTTACACACAAAGCTTTTTCTTTTAGTTTCATTCAGTGCAATGCTTTTGTTATCCGGCTCTACCCAAACTTTTCTGGTTTACCCCAACATTCCCCACTTGTCCGACTGTTGCAGAGCAATTTATCCAAACTTTCTGGTTTACCCCAACATTCCCCACTTGTTCGACTGTTGCTGAGCACTTTTTGGATATCAAACGGACCTCCCCAGAAGGTAATTTTGCCTTTCCGTCATCTTCTTGTCTTTCACAAATGGTATAGCATAGGACATCAAATTGCAGGCTCATTGGAGAATTGATCAGAACTTTAACTTTTCTGCAAGCCTGAGAAAATGCTCGACTGGGTAGCTTTCCTTCAACTGGAAAAACATAAAATGGGAATGACCAATTTAATCTTCAACGTGTATGCATCGTCTCGAGTCTTTTGCCTTCTAGATATTGTTCTGATCCTCAGCCTGGAGTGTCCATCACTTCTGAGTGTGTCTTGCAGAAGTGGGGGTAGGCACTGCATTATGAGATTCAATTTCCACTAAGAATGGAAGAAATGTGCTTCAAATTTCAATTTCCTGATAGGTTCCTAAGTGAGATCAGTGAAGAAATTTTCTCTGCAGGGAATGGTAAGGCCTTCTATTGGAGGATCAAATTCAAATTCTTCCTCTGCCTTACTAAGCAACTTTTGGAACAACCGCTCATTCGCACTACAAATCGCTTCTTGTTATCCTCTCCAACATAGACTGGAAAGTGGAAAGTAGCCTAAGATTCAGCATCATTTGAAAATACTCGATGGAGAATCTGCTCGACATGCACGACACGAGGTACTCAGATAACCATATCCACCTACCTTGATCTTGAATATTCTGTAGGGACTCGAACTTAAAAAAGAAGATTCCCTGCAAAGAATATGAAGATTTGATATGGCTATAAGATAAAGTAATGTGCACATATAAATAGATGAATCAATATATGGTTAAAGCCTATGGAATTTGGCTACAGTATGTGGGAGCCAGTGCTGGCCAAATTGTAAAGATATGATCAGAAGCATCACATGGGTCTGTCTTCTAACTTATTATAGAGAGTTGGGTAGTGATTGAAACTGTATCTCTGTTGGCATGCACATTGTCCACAATTGTTCCAGAATGAACATCCTACAAAGGCCACCACTTACAATTAAATCTAGGAGAAAATAGTATCACTGTATCAGTCATTTATGCATTTCACATGGTTCCGTTTTCTATCTTATCATCTATAACTTTGGTTTTGATTGGTAATGTGTTTTAGTTGTATAAAATTAGCTGTCATTGCTTGGTGAGTAGTTTACAAGGGATCCCCACCAAGAATTAAATATATTGGAGGAATCTTGGGTAGATTTATTTGAATTAACCTCTCCTGAATTCCAAAGCATAATCTGATGTGTTAGTTCTATTTTTTAAAAAGACATCATCAAGATTCAATACATTGCTAATCATATTAATAAGTCTCTTTCATAGCTGTTGATTTTTTTTTACCTTCCAAGATCTTCATGTTAGCATACACTCTGAATAATTTCCCAATGGAGCTGCCACTTCAAAGCAGAGCTGATAAATTTGTAAGTATCGAAATTGACAACTCCTGAAAGTAACAATATTGATCAAACCATAAAAGATTGACGGAAGGTCCAGCTTGAAAGCCATTCTTCACCACGTTAGAAATAAAGAAAAGAGAGAATTTTGAAAAAGAAAGAAAGAAAGAAAGAAATCAACACTGTGCATCAATGCTTTCTTATAAGATCTATTTGCCTTTTCTGGTAAAGGAAATTGATGAGATCTATTTTCAGTTCTTGCACTATATTGCCACTGTGGAAAGAAGATTGTCCAACTAATATCATTTACTTGGTTTAATTACGCAGTTTTCTGTAACAAAAGAAGCATAAATGTACAATAGTTTCAAAAAATTTGAATTCTCCGATTTCAAAATTCAGGAGTGTCTACGCTCTTCACTGTTTGTGTCCTGTACATTCCTTTCTTTATACCATCTATTTCTAAACACTATCCTTATGGCTCATGAGTCATTTAGACTACGAGTAAGATTAACGAAAATGTCTTCATTACAGGGAATTGTGATGCCACCCATTGGATGATCATATCCAAATTCTTCTTCAGCTTGGCTCAGCAGATCTTGAAACGAAGGCTGGTTCAAGTAAGATAAAGGGATGACGAAACGCTTCTTCTGTCCTTCTCCAACATAGACTGTAAAGTATCCCTTTGGAACATCTAGAGACTTTGGAGATGCTCCATTTCCTGATGTTGTTGATCGTCGAAGACTTGGTTTAGCATGAATAATACTAGGCAAACGGAACCCCATGGTATCGTATTTTTTTTCAAAGAGAGGACCTATGGGACTCTTGAAGGAATGTCAAAGAAGGAAATTTCTTTCAAAAGTGGGAATGGGGAAGACTTCTGTTGCTTGTGAATCCTATTACATGACCCTTTATATAACTGAAGGGTAAGATTGCTTGGAGTCAGAAAAATTGACCCTATTGCTAGAAAGGGACTAGCTCAAAATCAATCACATGGATTTGTCTTCCAAGCCATAATGATAATCTCAAGTTCATGTGTTACCTGGGCCATGCTGTATCTGATGCAGAAACATTATAGCTGGCCTTTATGGACAAACATAGAGAAGAAAATTCAATACAACTACGTAAATTTCAGTAGATCATAGACACATTAGAGGCACTCAAGGCTTTGTTGTCATCCTTGTACAATAACAATTGACAGAGACTATTCTGTTGACACAAAATTTAACTGCATCAAATAGTCATATCTGTTACATTTTTCTTCAGTTAGAAGGGTTTCAACTAAAATAGGAACTTTGTCGGTTGTTAATGTTTGCAGAGAGATCAGAAAAGTCATACGTACCGGTACCGTAGTACATGAGAAACTTGTAAATCAAGAGAATACTTCAGTACAAGATAGATATGGAAGAGAGACTCCATTTTTATCATCCTACTTGGTGCATTAAATGAAAAGACCATTGATTAGATGCCAAAACTTTCCAAATGATTTACTAGAGTTGATGTGGAGATTGTTTTGAAAAATTTCTTAAACATTTGATAGAAGGAAAATTTACCAAGTTGTATTAAGCTTGAAATCAATCTTCACAATAAATATGAAATTATAAATAAATATTATAGATCAACCAGTCACCACTCTAGTTGTTCAAAAACATTTTTAATAATAAAGAATAATAAAAGAAATACTACTGAGTAAATATTACTGCATTGATGCTATTGAAAGGATACAGGTATTGCATAGATGATGGATACTATAAATATTGAACAGATAGAACAAGGTTAAAAAAATATTTTTGGTCCCTATATTTTTTTCAAAGTAATGAGTTAGTCTTTGAGCCTTAGTTTGTAACGATTTAGTCTTTATAATGATATAGTCTCTGTATTTTCGAATTTGTAACAATTTAGTCTATGAATTTTAATGTATAATAATTTAGTCCCTATAGTTTAAACGTTTGGAATGATTTAGTACCTATCATGAAAAATATTGTTATAATTTGATAGTCATAGGCTAAATTGTTATATAATAATTAATAAGAATCAACGCTTAATTTTGATGGGATTTTTACATTAGGGATTAAATTGTTACAACTTTTAAAGTATAGGGACCAAATTATTACATACTAAAATTCAACGACTAAACTGTTACCAATTTGAAAGTTTAGACTAAATCGTTACAAACTAAGATTCATGAACTAATTACTTAAATGAAAGTACACAGACCAAAAGTATTTTCTAACCAAAGAATAAATAGAGAAAATGGCCAAAATCAAGACATAAAATGAAGAAAGAATTCCTGGCAAACACTTAATTTCCAGTAAAATTGCATCCATTAACAATTTCCTCATGCAGGGAAACATTTCCTAGACTTCCCATAGAAGGAAACAAAAAGCTGGAGCAAGATTGGAAAAAAAAGAAAAGTGCATGGATTTTATCATGCCTAATATCCCTGGTCTACAAGATTGTATGTTACAATCATGTCAGTGTCCTCTCATGGCCTATTTAACTGAGAAATGAGATCAGTGAAGATGTCTTCTCTGCATTGAATGGTAAGACCACCCATAGGATGATAGTAACCAAATTCTTCTTCAGTTTGACTAAGCAAGTCTTGGAAACATGGTTGGTTCAAGTAAGTTATCGGGATTACAAAACGCTTCTTTTGTATCTCTCCAACATATATTGCACAGCAGCCCTTTGGAACTGCTGCAACTCCCTCCTTTGTAGATGAGGAAGACCGTCGAAGAAGCTGACGAAGTCTCATGTTTATGATACAATAAATGGAAGATGCAAAAATTACTAGAAGATCTCAAAGCACCTTGAGATGAGAGGAAAAATTCTGTGTGACAGAAAAATGAAGACTTGTGTTGCTTGTGAACAATCAGATATGTATTTATAGATGATGATACTGGTGATTGAAGACTTTGGATAAGGCTTAGTAGCAGACAAGAACTCATGAAGTAGCATATGGTTTTGTATACCAAATAATGAACATTGAACTGGGTGATGTTGGTAGAGGATATTGTCCAGTCTTTTCAGGGAAAAGAATTTACAGAAGATCATATTGTCTCTCAAATGACAATGACTGATGAAAATGGTTTCAAGTCTAACAACTTGATTATATTAAACAGCTGGCTTATCTTGTCTACCATGAGATGACTGTGATCAATATTATATGTCATAAGCTCTAGTATTTTCTCATATCATGCAGACATATAAATTTAAACTTCAAAGAATTATGATGCTCTATTGCTAAAACTATACTATCTACTTTCGATTACTTGTTATGCATGGCTACTATACACAATTAATCAAGGATATAAGAAATTTTAACCACAAACTATTTTTTTTTTTTTTTGGAACAAGAAACAAACTTTTCATTGATAATATAAAAAGGAAGAAAATGTTAAAGGCTACAAACTCCCGATGGGAGCAAAAGAAGATAAAGAAACACCCAACAAAGAATGAATCATGTGCTTTGACAAATCAATGCCGAGCTACTTTCCATAGCTATACAATGATTTTGAACAACAAACTTCTTATGTTTCAAGACTGGTGCACTCTTAATCTGTTATTCTACTCTACTATGTTAGTTTGTTAATTACCATACAGTGATTTTGCTGATATTCATCTTCTCTAATGTGGCCTCCTACTCTCAGGTGTGATAACTTGGAAGAAGACCACTTGAGTGCTAATCCTAAAGAATTTTCTGAGCATAAACAACACCATGCAGATGAATACCCGTGACGGCCAACTCTATCGTCTGCACTGCCCTCTTGCAAGTTTGCAAGAGTCTGAAAACAAGAACTTGTGAGTGTGGTGAGAACTTTTACATCTATACGTACAGAAAATGTTAAATTCATTATTGCGGATCATTGAAACTCCAACCAGAAAGTAGAGATATATGTACCAATTGAGTATAGAGGATATGGTCTTTGGGATTCAGTGGTTTTCCCTAACCTAGGTTGCGTCTTGATTTTCATCCAAGTTATGCTAGTCCAATCAGAAAAATAACTCTAAAGCCCCACTTTTCCACGTACAAAGCTAGTATATATCAAACATCTAGTATGTAGGGAACTCGCTATTTGTAATATTACATATATATCATGCATCAGTCCAAGGGCATAACTAGATAAAATTACAAACACTTGGGCCCATATTCACGAATATTTGCAGATGAAATGAAATGAGGTCCCAAGGAAGGGTTGAGTTTCTAGTAGTATATATATGGAAAGATAATATGTAGAGTCCCTACTTTGAGCTTGAGTTTGAGTCTTCCTCTGAAATCCAGTCAAAATAGTGACCACTCTGACCATTCAAGCCTTGGAAATAAGATTGATTCAAGTTATTGGGAGAACAACTCCTTTTTTTTGTTTTTTCGTCCTGTGAAGATTTCTTTTTTTTTTTAACAAGAAACGAACTGTTCATTGATTTAATGAAAATGAATAGAAAATTATTCATGAAGACTGCTTACGAAGCTGAAAAAGTACTATGCTTTCTCCGGTTGGAATAAAAGTAAGATTTTAGAGCAAGTAGAAGACAGTATCTAGAGAAAAGAAGTATATCGCTGTTCAAAAGGAATATGTATATATAGATAATAACAGGTCACAGGTTGGAATGTGATACATGCTGATGCTAACTGATGAGAGGTTAACACTTGAGACATCTTCGGATTACAGAGTTCGTGAAAAGTATTATATGTTGTCTTCAATACCATATAGTTTCAAAGAATTATACTAATGTCACTATACAATCAGAATAACTGCTTATATTCTAGCTTCGTTGCTGCAAGAGACTGCATCAGTGGTGTAATATAAATGCTGAATTTCTACATAATATATAGAAAGTAACACACAAGCAGAGGAGAAACATAATTGAAAAAATGAAGAAAGTTTTCAAGGAGTTACATTTCAGTAAAGGTCTTTTCATTAGTGATTTCCTTAACAAGAGAGATTTTCTTTTACCTCTCATGGAAGGAAACAAAAAAATTGATTTAAGTGCAAAAATATACATGGAATTGGTCAGGCCTAATATTCCTTGTGTACAAGATTTAATGTTCGTCAGTGTCTCCTCTCATGGCTCATTAAAGCTGAGAAATGAGATTGGTGAAGATGTCTTCTCTACATTGAATGGTAAGACCATCCATGGGATGATTGTAACCAAATTCTCCTTCAGCTTGACAAAGCAAGTCTTGGAAGCATGGCTGAGTCAAGTAAGCTATGGGGATCACAAACCTCTTCTTTTGGTTCTCTCCAACATAGACTGCACAATGTCCCTTGGGAATTGCTGAACCTCTCTGGTTTGATGTCACAGAAGACCTTTGAAGAAGGCGACGAATTCCCATGATTTATAGTAGGAGATAATTAACAGAAAGATAGCAGGGTACTACAGAAGATTTTAAAGCAATTTTGAGACAAGAAGCAACTTGATGTCCAAAGGAAATATGAGGACTTGGATGCTTTTGAAACAGGTGAGAATATGCATATATAGATGAATATAGAGATATAAGCGAAATCATGTGATTTGTGAAGGTAGTGGTGAGAAGCCTTTTGGCAGGAGACTAGCAGGAGACATAAGGTGGGGAATTATCACATGGTTTTGTCTTCCAAATGATTATAATCCAGTCAGTGATGCTGGTGAAACTCATTATCCAACCTTCCCATGCAAGAAAATAGTACAGGTCCTCAGTTGTATCTATAAAAATAAATAAATCAAACATAAATCAAATAGTAATCTGAAACAGCTAGCCAGTTGTTTTTTTGGGGACAACGCTCATAATTTAAGATTGTTATTCTACTTTCATTCGATCCCACATATTTTAGGAAGCACAAGAATTTAAGGAATTAAAAAAGTCAGTGCAAACTGCAGAGAAGTTGGAAGTCTGTTTACTCAAAAGTTGACAAAAAAAAATTTAAACGAAATATTAGTTGGGGAGTCCCATTTCAAAAGCAATCCCAACATTCATACTGGCCATACATGAGAATTCGTCGCTTAATTTTCTGTCCATGGTTTTAGTTCCCATGGAGGTCATCCCAACTTCAAAAGATTATGTAATTATCTTTTGAACAATTTTATTTCTCTTCATCTATCAATGAAACGTCAGTATCTTTTTTTTTTTTTAAGATTATGTAATTATCTAGTTAAACATACCCATACTTAAGAGGGCTAGTAAAGCAAATTCATGTTTTGCTATCATAAAGAGAGTTGGAAAAAAAAAGAAGTAGAACAATATAAGTTCTATAAAAGCATTTGACAGATATTTAAGGGGTCAAGAAAGTCTCTGCATTTTTTAATTTCTGTCGTATCCCTAAAAGCACATTACTCAGTTCTAGTTTTCAAGTGGAAGTTATGCACTCACAATACTATACTTGGTTAGTACTTTCAATATCAAAACTCTATAAAGTGAAACTTAGACAGAAGATAGTTATTTGATGCTGGTACATATTCATTAAAATGAATGGGAGGTCTACATAGAGAACAAAGGTATTAACAGAAAATATAGATGAAAATATTTCTTGAGAATGAACCTCTAAATTATGAAAAAGGGATAGGGAAGGGGATGACCACCAAAAACAGCTCTAGAAGCTAAATCACCATGACCTCTAAGCAACAATCTTTGTGTTATTTAAGCACGGAAACCAATTTATTATATAATGTTTTTTCACTATAAAATAAAACAAAACTTTTTTTATATGAAACAATAAAATAAAACAGATTTTCATTAGGTAAAATTACAAGGAAGCTCAAAAGATAAAAAACAGCTCTCAATCTCCTACACATCATTTGAAGAAAACATCATAATGTAGATATTGAGCAATCATGCTGTCATGAAGAATGGGCTGAGAAAAGTGGCAAGAAGAGGTACGTAAGTATCAACCTTATAATTAACTATTATTTTTATGTACATGTAACTTAACTCCCTTCACCTCCCACTCTGCACCTTGGTGAGGTCAAGAGGCCAAGAGGTGGTGTGGTGGATTGTGTTAGTAATATGGTATTTTGCATCAATCCTATAATGGTCATAAGCTCATTTTAACATTTCTCTACTCCTTTTGAACATCAACCAATAATTCATACCTCATCATCCTCCTGTGTGCGATGATGTGCTAGATTGGCTCTTGAAACTTCCTGAAGTCATCATTAGTTGGGGGTCGCTCATCACATCCTGCAATTAAAATTTTTCAATTATAATTCATTATTGGCAACTTCTGGTTTCCTAACTTTCTGGTACAAACAAATTAGTCCCTCAACTTCCATCTTTTATTTCGCTCAATCCTTGAATAACTATTATTCAGTGAAAATTGGATCCTTTCCTTGTAGTTCTGCACTCGTAACTACTTTCTGATTAGAGATAGTCAGCAGCGAAAGATTTAAAACATTTGACAGAAAGGATTCTAAAATTGTTTTACTAGATAGTCAGTCTTAACTTTGAGAGCATAAAAACATACTGCTATATTGTGCAACCGCTACTACAATAGGGAAAGAAATAGATACCATAAAGACTAAAAATTGACACCTAATATTTACATAAATATTTATAAATATTGAAAATTCCAACCCAGTAAGATATTTCCTTAAAACCTGTTAGTAATGTGAAATCCATTTCACGCAGAGGTTTTGAGTGAACAACATTTGATAGAAAGAATTTCACTGCAACAAACCAGCAATTGCGTGACCAAATAGAGGCAGAAGCTAAAATTTCAAAAACCAAATAAAAAACTACTTTACTCTACCCAACAACTGTTATAATTTTAATGCCTCTCCCAGTGTACACTATCACATAGCATCTTTCATACTAACCTGCTGATCCAATGAGGCATGGCTATGACCGCTCAAAGATTCATAACTATCCCTCGACACCATGTAGTTCATTTTCTCCTCACCAAATTCTCTCAATTTATTAAGTTCTGACAACACGACAGTGCCAAGATCTGGTCTGTCTTTTCGTCTAAGCTCTGCACACTGAAGTGCTAATTTGGCAAAGTAGAGTGCATGTTCCACCGGCCAATCAAGCACAGCTGGGTCCAGTATCTCCGCAAAAGTGCCCTTATCAATCGAGCGAGCAACATGGTGAGCCAACCCCATGGGCGGTTTGGCTGTAAGAAGCTGAAGAAGTATGATACCTAGCGAATACACATCAGACTTCACACCAAGCATTCCAGTTTGTTGATATTCAGGGTCAATGTAGCAGAAAGTTCCAGCGGCTGAAGTCATGTAGCATTGTGTTGCGTTTTCAGCCACAGCAGGTACCAGTCTAGCCAAACCAACATCGCTTATCTTGCTAACATAGTTGTGGTCTAGCAATATGTTAGCTGGCTTGAGGTCACGGTGCACCAACGGCTCTGGCTTTGTCTGGTGAAGAAACAGAAGGCCAGTAGCAATCTCTGCAGCAATTCGAAACCTCAATTGCCAAGAAATAACAGGGCTGTTCCCCTTTCGGAAGAGTCGATCCTCCAAACTTCCATTAGACATGTACTCATACACTAGAATGCCGTATTCCGGGCATGCTCCTAGAAGAAGTACCATGTTGGGATGTCTTATGCAACTCAATATATCAATCTGCATTTACAATATCTAACTAAATCATTTGCACTTAAAATGGTCTCAATTTTCTCCTCTTTAAGTAACATTTCTAAGTTCCTCACCTCTTGTTGAAACTGTGACCTTCCTTGAGCTGCATCCGGACGCAGAACCTTGACTGCAACTGATGTGTGATCAAGACGACAACGAAATACAGGTCCATAACCTCCTTCCCCAATTTTCCGAGATGGTGCAAAATGTTCGGTTGCTTTTTCAACCTCATCAATAGTATACCTCCTGTACCTGATGTCGCTCTGAGCAAGATTTTTCAATGCTCTCTGCATTTCCTCTGCTTCTCTAAGGGCTTTTATCTCTAGATTTGCTCTTTTATGTGATTCTAACTCTGCAATTCTCTTAGCTGCATCAGCTGCTTCCATTGCTGCTTTACATCTCGCTCTCTCTTGCTCAGCAATAGCCATTGCTGTTTCTTGCGCAAGTCGTGCCTCTTCTAGTTTTTGTTCTTCTTCACGTCTCCAATTATTTAGTTCCATTGCCTATGGGAAAACTTTTAATATAACCCCAGGTTGAATCTTGACAATGGACAAATGACTTAAGCTGTACATATACCTTCTGCTTTGCTGTTAGTGCTTCTCTACATGCTGTACTGTACATCTCCATGGTTTGTTTAAGCTCTAGCTTCAGCCTCCTCATTTCAAGTTCTGCTTCATCCTGTGTGATACAGAAATCCTGACCCCATTTAGTTCATATCTTCACATTGACATTAGATATGAGCACAAAAATTCAAACACATGCAATATAATCTCTCTCTCTCTCTCTCATAAAAATACATATGATCAATTATTGTAATCATGAATAAAATTATCATACATTTCCCCAGTTTCGTAATTTAACAGTTGTCAAGTCATCAATATAAGGAAGAATAGTATTTCTTTAAAATGACAGCTAAATTATCGAAGTTTAAAATAAAAAATATCAATTATTGAAAAGTATCAACAACTAGCATCATATAATATGATCAACATGAGTAATGTGATGTAACAAAGATATTCCCCAACGTTCCCATTCATATGGACATCTTTATCAATATATTTGAGAAGTCTACCAGTGAAAATCAAAATTTTCATCCACAGCCAACCATTCATAATATGTACTGACCAAGTTCTGAGATGACCAGGAATATGATGTCCTGCTGCTCTCGTCTGAAACTGATGAGAAATCATTGTGATTGCTGAGGTCTGTCCATTTTGGTTTAAACGGTAAAGATACAAAGCTATGTTCTGAGCTGGTTGAAAACCGTGGCGGTCCTGAATCAGAATAGTCAAATACAACAGAAGAAGTACGATCCGTGCTTGGCCTGCCGGAGCTAACAAAGGATATGTCAGATTCTGACTCAGAGAACCCTCCACTGCATTTGGAAAAAGAAGATCTCTCTCCTCCATTAGAGTAAGGCGACCTGATTCCAATCACTATGTAAGCATCAATTTAGAAAGAAAATATATGCTTCCAACTTCTAAAAGTTTAAAACAAGCTATAATTTAGTACAACTTACTTGACTAACTCATCCTGAATAGTACGAGGTTTGAATGATGTCCTGTCTGCAGATAAAAAATTATTACTAGTCCCATTGTCCAGCATAAAATAAAGACATGAATGTAAACGATTGTGATAGTCGAAATCATTTATCTTCATTTAGTGCTTGAATTAATTTGCTTGTTTTCAACTTCATCCTTGAAAAAATGGTGCTTTGACAAGACACAAAAGTATCGAGTTAGCAGTAACATGAAGGCTGTGCTGTCATAATTTACAGGTTAAATTCATGTCTCATTCCGAGAATTGTTTAATAAATCTTTCAAGTTAAAAAAAAAAATTAATTGGTCTCTAAACTCTTAATGTTGTGCCTAATAAGTCTCTAACCATCAAAGACTGTCTAATTAAATTCTTCGTCTTTCAAAGTCCAATAAATCCCTAAACTCTAAAAAGTGTCTCATGAATAAGAGATTTACTAATAAATAGAAGTTAAATATGCTTCTCGTATTGGAATTTTGGAAAACATTAGTTCAATCCGGCATTTCCATCCACATTCATCTCTGTCTTTAAAAAAAAAAATTGGATGTTTTCTTCCGATCTCTAGTCTCGAGACTTTCAATCCATCAATGGCTATTTTTAGAAAAGGACCAAGTCAAATAGTAACGATTCAAAGCACCCCTTTTTACCCTATTTCGAAAAATCTAAGGGCTCAATTGTATGGACGTATGAAATACAAGATTTCTAATCCTAGCAGGAAAGAGATGAAAATGGATACTCAATTGTTAATTCATATCTCGATATGTTGTGGCAAACCGTGTTCGATGAAAGTCGGACACACAACATTAAAAGTTTAGAAACTTATTAAATACAGCATGGAAACTTCATGTTAGGTACTTCTGAATTTAGGAATTTAAGACAACATTAAAAGACCGATTAACCACTTTTGAAGTTAATAAAAAACCTGTTGAGTCAAACTTACCTAACTTTAAATGTCAAAAACGAAACTTATAATTTAACCCATTTGAAACTACTTCACATGATAACCTACACAAAATGCTTGGAATTTAGTTAAACATGAAGACCAAACCTCTTAAATTGAACTTATGTCGAGGCGTGACCGATGCCTTTACGACGGGCTTAGCTAGCTTCTGTATGTGGTCTAGAAGAGGGGAAGTAAAGGGAGCAGGACGAGAAGCGTTTCTCACCGAAGACACCTTCCCCTTCGAGATGACATATACAGTGCAGAAATCTGGTGCTGCTTTTGATACACTGCTACCCATGCTCGATGTCTTAAACCTGGTGCAGAAATCGCAAATACCCATCATAAGATTTCGAGCAAATTCGAGATGGGAATTCACATTTTTCCATGATGATCGAGGAAAACCTAAAACTCACGTCCTCGGAATGGAAAATACTCAACCAGAGATGAATCGATGAAGATGGGTACCTGATAAATCCATGTTTCGATGGCGCCCCGAGCACCAAAATGTCGATTGCAGCGTAAGAGACGTATTCCGTCAATGCTTTTACCACGTCGGTGTCTTCCAGTATAACATCAAGGCATTGAATCTTCACAATCGAAAAAACGAAAACAACAATCATCAGAAACCCAACAAAAAAAAACAACAACAATTAATTGCGACGAAACAGAGACGCACGTCCTTGCGGGTACAATAGCAATGGAATGTGAGAAAAATGTCTCGGGTCTGCATCTCGAGTTTCTGTTTCTGAGGGCATCCAGCCGTCAAACTGCCATCGCCATTGCAGACAATGGCTCCTCCAATCAAGGAAGCAGCGGCGCTGGAGGGTCTCTGAACCACATGGATTAGAACAACGGTTTGGCCCTTTCCGACGAGATTATCGGCGGCCCATCTGAGAGCATTTTGGCTTCCTTTTTCCCTGTCGATTCCAATCGCCACCAACCCATTTCCTCCCCCTCCTCCAACTATTCCTCCCGGCACCCCCTTTTTCCCGCCATTGGCATTGCCTCCTTTTTGTAGCCACATTTTTTTAAAACTATCAGAGGGTATTTGCTTTGGTTTTACATATATACACGCGCGTTGTTGCGTGTGGATTCAAAGAGAGAGATGAAGAACTTTGTTTTTCTAAGGCTAACTTTGGATTTTGGAACATTGGGTGAGTGAGATAGTGGGAGGAAACGCTGGTTTCTCTCTGTTTTGAGACTAAGTTTGGATTTGCCTCTGAAATTTGAGGTGCTGAAGAAACTTTTGAGGGAGATTTTTGCTGATTATAGAAATCAATCTCTCCTTCTTCAATTCGTTCCTTTTTCCACCCCATGAATAAAAATGTCAACTTTTGCTAATTTTGGTATTGTTTTGATTTGCCATGGAATTTGAAGCTATTGTTCAAAGGTGGAGACTCGATAGAATATTATGTGGCATGGAATGTCTTTGTTGACTCATTTGACCAAAGGTTAATAAAAAACATTGGAAGTCAATTTTAAAATTAAAAAAAATATATATATATATATATAGATAGATATTTATGCTAAAAAGAATTAAGGTTAAAAAACACATTTTACTTTCACTAAATAACAATTTAGTCCTTGAACTTCAGTTTGTAATGTCTTGGTGTCTGTATTTTTCTTAAAGTTACAATTTAGTCTCTGAACTTTAACTTATAATGATTTAGTCTCTATCGTAAAAATATTTATTAAAATTAAGTGTCAGATTTTATCAGATAATAATTTAATCTTTTTAATTCATAAACATATTTGGTCTCTCTTTAGTGTATCAATCTATACATAAAATAAACTTAACAAAAAAAAAATTATGATAAGGACTAGATTGTTACCAACTTTAAATTACAATTACTAAATTGCTACATATTAAAGTTCAAGTACTAAATTGTTACCAGTTAGGGACTAGATCATTACAAACTAAAGTTTATGAACTAAATTGTTACTTTAGCGAAACTTCAAAGATTAAAAGTGTTTTTTAACCGAAGAATTAGCTAAATGTTTAAAATGAGCAAATAATAGTAGTTAATTACCAATATGGCAGCCTACTTTCATATTTGCAAAAACAAAAAAAACAAAAAAAAATTAATAAATAAAGATATTGAAATAAAAGAATGAAAAAGTAACAACCTCTTAGTTAAAGATATATGTCAATTACTGCTGAGCTATGCTCGTTTTTTTGCTACAGTAGGTGTATTAGATGAAGGGTATTTTTTATATACTTTATATATCATTAAGAAACATATAATATTGCTTAAACCAAAATCTTCAACTTAAATAGGATTTATCAACGATATACATAATATTAACTCTACCATTTGTATATTTAGTGTGGCTGATATATATACTCTATATTAAGTATATTACGATACATCAAGTATTAAGTATTAAGTATATAATTGATATATTAAATATTTAATATGTTAGTCACACAAAATATATGAATGATATATTTTATATTAAGTATATTATTGGTAAATTTTTATTAGGCATATCGATTTTTTAAAATAACGAAGGTAAAATCGAAATAACAAAAATAAATGAAAAATAATTTTAATTTTTTTCTTCATATTTGCAAAACCAAAGGTTGTTATATTTCAATTTTTTCTAATAGTTTAAAAAGTTTAATTTTGATTAATTTTGTCAAACAAATTTCAACACATTACTAACCTCTATAAATATTAAACTTTCAAATATTCTCCACTCCTGTGTGAAACAACAAAGCCAAAACGAGCATAGCTCAGCGGTAATTATTTTCAACTGTAACAACCCGTATTTTCCAATACGGTCATTCTAACAAAATGCGGAAACGTAACTTTCAAGAAACCTTAAGAACTAAAATTATTTAGCGGAAGCAATTTCTTTACAGAATTTTTCTATACTAACTTAATTAAATAGGAAGATGATTTTCAAACTCATGCCAGTATGCTAAACTTCACTTTCTACCAGAACGATCATTCAATCATTTATCTAAAAAACATTTAAGAAAACAAAGATGAGTACAAAAATACTCAATAAGCAATTTCCATATCGAATTTTAAAATTTACTGCATTTATTCGAGCAATCCACAAATGTCAAAAATTTCTTTTTTGCCTAACCTCTAGAAATAGGTGTCTTAACCATTTGAGCTATGCTCGGGTTGGCGATATCAGTTGAGTTATACTTACGTAGACATGTATATATTTTAATCATTCAAATTTTAATTGAACAGATGTCCAAATCTAAAATATCTCTTCACTTATCCGCTCATGTATTGTAGTATATCAAGGAAAGATTGTTAAATAATTATTAAATGAGTTTCATTGACTAGTATCTATTTGGTGTGAAATTTTGTTACGTGGTACTATTTTTTAAATTTAATCTCTAGTGTTATACAATATCTCAGTTTAAAGCATAGTTGAGCGGTAATTGACATTTATCTTTGATCTAGAGATTATGAGTTTGAAACCTGCACCCAGAAATGTCCTAAAAAAGAAATGTTAGATGAGTTTACTTTTTTCAATATTGAATATTTTTTAAATTTATTCAGCCCAAATTAAGAACTCGCTTTGCTTGATTTCTAAAAGAGAAGAAATGTAGTTGCAAATTTAAGAAACATTATTGGGAGATTGGACAATTTTAAGCAATTATTCCAGTTATTATCAAGTAAAAATTTATACAAATGTGTTAAAACGTTCGGAGGAAATAATATTTTTAAAACTTTAATTACGGATAAATAAATTTAAGAAATCAATGTATATTTTAGAAAATCAAATGACATATTTAACCTTAAATCTAAGGTTAAAACATTTGGTTGTCCTTGTATTTTCATCAGGGTAGTGATTTGTTTCCTAAATTTTATTAGGTAAAAATTTAGTTATTGTTGTTTAAATTTGTAACGGCTTTAGTTTTAAAGTTTTAATGTGTAATGATCTAGTTTGTGTAATTTTAAATTTGAAATGATTTAAATATTACTATAAAAATCTTAATTAAGCTGTAACTAGATTTGACATGATAGCTACTTGAATGTCATGAACCGTTATTGTTCTTTTGGATACGTGACTTTGTGACTTTTGTACACGTGGGATCCCAAATTTTTATATTAGGAATTAATTTATGATTAATTTTAAATAACAAGGATTTAATTACTACATAAAGCTAAATCATTACAAAAATCAAACCAAATGAACTAACTCATTATATACTAAATATCAAGAACTTTTTCTTGTTAGTACGCTAAATATCAAGAACTTAATTGTTGCTTCCATGAAAGTTGGGTCACCTGTTCCTTTAACCAAAATTTAATCACATGCTTCTTCTTCTTCTTTTTGTTCTTTAATTGAGAGTACGCTCGTCTATACCTTGGGCACCTTTGCCCGTCCCAAGGTATGGACCTAAGAGATATTAAAGGTTTTTAGTATTAAGTTCACCAAAAAGTTCGAATTTAAGACCTCTAAGCTCGTAGGACCAAAAAACTCGAAATATTTGCCAACCAAGCCATCGTATGCTCATTTTATAAGACACTTTTTTTGTTCAACAATACATGGGAGTGGAGATTTCATCCTCTAACTTTTTAGTCGAAGTTATAATATCTCGACCAATTGAGATATGCTCATGTTGGTATTTTACTCGCTATAATTAGCTAGAGCGTTGATTATTTTACAAACAAGGTAGTATGTTCAAATCTCTACTACTAGGACAAAAGAAGGTCTAGTTTGAATAAAAGCCCACCAGTCTCTCCTTCAAAACTATAGTAATGAGAGTACCTACTCCTCCGATTCCTCGATAGTATTAAGTGATTTATTATCATCTTTCATGAACTCCACACTATTTTTGGGAAATTTTCAAAATACCTGCTTTTTGTTTACACTATAATTTTTAATATTAATAGAGTCCACGTCAATTTAAATATGAAATATGATACTGACATGACAATTAATAAATGGAACAGAGTATACAAACTACGGAAAAATCTCTAGAAGTATGGATACTTCTTCACTTCATTGTCTGCGAGGTTAGCATCATATTAAAAATAATGGGAGGTCAACCAAAAGAAATGTTATTTACAAAGGCAAAATGACAGTGTGAACAAATGGAGCAACCAGAAACTTTTACAAAAATACTACCATTTTTAAATGTTGCTGATGCGACAAATAATAAATGAAAGTAGTATGAAAAATTGTTGGATTTTTTGGAAACTCATCAGTCATTTTCATATCTCATACCATGAATCCGCTGCAACATTTAAAGCTCTTCAGAAATATATGTAGTACTTCCCCCATTGGAGTTACAATGAAACCTTCAGGCTTCCAAAGTGTCTATTCAAATGAAACCTCTGTCAATATTTACACACAATGTTTATGATCAGAGGAAGAAATTTGGGAGTCTCCAAATCTCATATCAATAATGGGAGAAGTGGAGAGAAGGATAATGCATTACAGCAGCAACCAGAAGATACTGCTTGCGGGAGAGGGAGATTTCTCCTTTTCAGCTTGCTTAGCCACAGCCTTTGGCTCTGCTACTAAAATATTTGCCACTTCTCTTGACTCCAAAGGTATTAAGAATGACCATATAATGGTTGCAAATTCATGTTCTCACTCTCTTTTTCTTGGGCATAACTGTTGGTCTATGTTTTTAAATGTGTAAAATAAAAAGAGTCGCTATTGAGGAAGTATGCACAAGCTGAGAGACACTTGAAACACTTGGAGGTCCTCGGTTGTACTGTTGTTCATGAAGTGGACGCAGGAAGCATGAGCCAACACCTCCTTCTCGGACTCGAGTCATTCGATCGGATTGCTTCAACTTCCCACATGCTGGTTTTGACCTCCGAGAGCGAGACGATGTTCAAATCTGTGAGTGAATGATTAACTTAAGCATCTGGTTTTAATGATAGTTTAACATGGTATCAGAGCACGAACCATCTTATTTGTTGGCCTTGTGCTGGTTTCTTAGCTCATAAGCAAGGGGAGGGTTAGGAATTGGAATAAAAGATTAAACTAAAAGATATGCAAAACTCACTCTAAATTGATTCTAATCAATCAGCTTAAAGCTCCTGAGTTTGATGTTAGTTTAATAGTGTGGTTTTGTATTGGGATGTGATACTCACAAAGTTTTAGTGGGAAAGTTTTTGAGGAATGCAAAGGAAATGCTGGCTGAAGATGGAGAAATTCACATTACCCACAAGACCTTGTATCCTTTTAGTGAATGGAACATTGAGAAACTAGCAGCAAGGGTGGGTCTCATTCGGATGGAGAGGGAATATTTTCGTAAAAGGGACTATCCAGGTTACGAAAACAAGAGAGGCGATGGGCCCGATAGCGATGCCACTTTCCACATTGGATCATGCAGCACATTCAAGTTTGCAAAGTACTTTCTATATAATGGTGCATCCTTTGAACTGTAATGTGCTTAACCAACTGGTGCATATAGTATATAGCCACAGCTCCACTGGAAAAAACCAGTTGGTTAATTTGTAGTCTCTATCTACTTCCACAGTTAAAGCAATCCTACCTATAATCTGTGTATTCTTTTTGGTTTGTTTGCATCAAACAAGCATACAAAAGATATGATTGAAAGATTTCATAGAAGCTCATTTACATTAGTAGCAGGCTTAAGCTTATCATCATATTCTGAAAGATGTAATATTTCCTCCATTTAATGAAATCATTCCCATAAACTTTATAATCTAAAGCAGAGTGGAAGCAAAATGTGGGATGCCCAAGGCTTGTCCTTGGCTGTAACTGGCCCACAGTTTCTAATCACCATTTTCAGAAGTCTTTTCCTTAAGAGCTAAATGGGGTACTGTATTGGTTTCTTCTCTGAAAAATGCAAGACAATGTATTTACTAACAGCTCTGGCTAGATTGTAATAATTGGAAAACAAACCATGTGATGTCTATAAGTTCATGTCACCTACTAGGCCCCATTCAATAGCTTTGGGAGTACCTCTTTATCATCTATATAAATACACATTGGATATGGTTCAGAAGTAACCACAAGTCTTCACATCCTCATTCAAAAGAATCTTTCTTCTCCCATAAACGCATTCTGCGATCTTTTATATCGATTATACCATACAAACATGGGGCTTCGCCAGCTTCTCAGAAGAAATCAAGGAGTTTCATCAGTTCCCAAGGGCTATTGTGCAGTATATCTTGGAGAGAACCAAAAGAAGCGGTTCATGATCCCAGTCGCTTACTTGAATCAGCCATGTTTCCAAGAGTTGCTTTGTCAGACTGAAGAAGAATTCGGTTTTCACCATCCAATGGGTGGTCTTACTATCCATTGCAGAGACGATATTTTCACCGATCTCATCTCCCATTTGAATGATCTATAAGAGTTACATCGACGTTTGTAGTATACGATCAATCTTGTAGAATAGGAACATTAGAAAAAACTAAAACCATATGTACATTTTTATTCATTTTCCTCATTCTTTTTTGTTTCCTTCAGAGGGGTGTAAAAGAATGTTTCCCTGAATAAGGAAATTTACCAATGATGAAAATGAAATTGCCACCACTTTACTTGAAACTGAAGTTTATTCCTTGAAAAAGTATTCTCTTTACTTTATGGTTATGCTTCTATTCTCTATACATGCAAACCAATCATATAAATCTTAATATTCAGAGTTTGAGCTGTTAAAGAAAACATGTTAAACCATTTTGATTGACTCTTACTGGTTTGGTTGCATCAGAAAAGCATTTGTAAGGATATAAGTCAAAAAATATGATTGAGAGGATCCATTTCATCTTTGCATAATGATATATCATATAATATCTATTGTTCATGATCAGTAGTAGGACGTTATTATGTTACATTGGAAATCTTTGAATCAGGCTGACTTGTCGGAGCAAAAACTATTCCAGAAAATTAAGTCGCCCCTAACTCAAATTTCATTTACATTTTCGTCGGTTGAGCAGTAAGTTAAGTCTTATCTAATATTCTGCAAATACTATTCCTTCATTAATGAAATCATATCCATAAACTGTGTAATCTTAGCGAAATGGAAGCAAAATGTTGGATGTCCAAGGCTTGCCCTTAGCTATAACTGGCCCAGAGTTTCTCATCACCATTTTCAGAAGTCTTTTCTTCAAGAGAAAAGTGGGGTATAGTATTGGTTGGTTTCTTCATTGAAAATTGCAAGACATTGTATTTATTAACAACACTGGCTGGATTGTAGCAATTGGAAGACAAACCATGTGACGTCTATAAGTTCATGTCACCTACTAGCTAGCTAGGCCCCATTCAATAGTTTCCGAGAAGGCCCCTTTAATATCTATATAAATACACATTTGATATGGTTCAAAAGCAACCACAAGCCTTCACATCCCCATTCAAAAGAAACTTTCCTCTCTTGAAAACTCATTCTACAAACTTCTATATTGGTACCATACAAACATGGGGCTTCGCCAGCTTCTTAAAAGAAACCAGGGATTTTCAGCAGTTCCCAAAGGCCACTGTGCAGTATATGTTGGAGAGAGCCAAAAGAAGCGGTTTGTGATCCCGGTAGCTTACTTGAATCAGCCATGTTTTCAAGAGTTGCTTTGTCAAACTGAAGAAGAATTCGGTTTCCATCATCCAATGGGTGGTCTTACTATTCATTGCAGAGACGACATCTTCACCGATCTTATCTCTCATCTGAATGATCTATGAAAGATACGCTGACATCTGTAGTAGTATACAATCAATCTTGTAAAGTAGGGACATTAGAAAAAACCAAAACGATGTACCTTTTTTTCATTTTCCTCTCTCTTTTTTGTTTCCTTCAGTGGGGAGTAAAAGAATGTTTCCCTGCATAAGGAAATTACCAATGATGAAAATGAAATGACAACTTTACTCGAAAATGAAGAGGTTCATGTATTCTCTTTACTTTATGACTATGCTTCTCTTCTCTACATATGCAAACCATTCATATGAATCTTAATTTTCAGAGTCTGAGCTGTTGCAGAAAAGATGCTAAACAAGCATTTTAAGGATATAAACAGAAAAATATGATTGAAAGGTTTCATAGAAGCTCATTTCATCTCTGCATGAGAATACAATATTGTTCACAATCCATGATAGGTCATGATTTGCCCTCCAAAAGGACACAGTATGGGCAAATAACCATATGCCTTTCTCAATTCTAATACTGGCCAGAGGATAATTTCACAAAGCAGAAGTTGTGTTAACAGCCTGAATTGCACTACCATTTCAATTTACAGAAGCTGAACTGTCAGTGTAGATTTTACCATCTATTCAAAATGTCTCCTCATTTAGCCATCTTAGCCATGACAATTATATTAGTTGCCATCCCTTTTGAGAATGTTATTCAGCAACATTAAAAATCTTTGAATCATGTTGACTTGTCAAAGCAAAAACTGCTCCAGAAAATGGGTCCCTTCACTCAAATTTCGTTTACGTTTGTGTCGGTTAAGCAGTAAGCTTAGGCTCATCTTTATATTATGCAAGATGTAGTATTTATTCTATTTAATGAAATTATGCCCATAAATTGTGTAATATAAGCATAGCGGAAGAAAAATGTGGGATGTCCATGGCTTGTCCTTGGCTATAACTGGCCCACAGTTTCTAATCACCATTTTCAGAAGTCTTTTCCTTAAGAGCTAGATGGGGTATTGTATTGGTTTCTTCACTGAAAAATGCAAGACAATGTATTTACCAACAACACTGGCTGGATTGTAATAATTGGAAGACAAACCATGTGATTCCTCATAACTTCATGTCTCCTACTAGGGCCCATTCGATAGTTTTAGGAATTCCTCCTTATCAATTTATATAAATGCACATTTGATGGTTTAGAAGCAACCACAAGTCTTCACACTTCCATTTGAAAGAAACTTTCTTCTCTCGAAAACTTGTTCTACGATCTTCTCGATACTCCAAGTATACTACAACATGGGGATTCGCCAACTTCTTAAAAGAAATCAAGGAGTTTCAGCAATTCCCAAGGGATATTGTGTGGTCTATGTTGGAGAGAGCCAAAAGAAGCGGTTCGTGATCCCAGTAACTTACTTGAATCAGTCATGTTTTCAAGAGTTACTTTGTCAGACTGAAGAAGAATTTGGTTACCATCATCCAATGGGTGGTCTTACCATCCATTGCAGGGACGACATCTTCACCAGTCTCATCTCCCGTTTGAATGATCTATGAGAGATGCACCAACATCTGTAGTATACAACCAATCTTGTAGAATAGGAACATTAGAAATAACCAAAATCATGTACATTTTTTTGTTCATTTTCCTCTTTTTTTGTTTCCTTCAGTGGGGAGTAAATGACTGTTTCCCTGCATAAGGAAATTACCAATGATGAAAATGAAATGTCAACAACTTTACTGGAATTGAAGAGGTTCGTTCCTTACATAAGTATTCTCTTTATCTAATGGTTATGCTTCTATTCTAGCCATATGAGTGAATCTTAATTAGAAAAGATGCTAGACCATTTGTTTTAACTCCTCTTGTTTTAGTTGCATCAAACAAGCATTTGTAAGGATATAAATAAAAAGAAAATATGATTGAGAGATTTCATATTTGAATATTGGGTTGTCAAGTAAAACAATATGCTCCCAAGTTCTCACATAAAAAAAAAAATCCCTAGTGTTACTTTTCTTTCAGGGTCCTTATATAGTTCTTCCTCCCTGAAATGTACAATTCTGTGGGTTTCCATTGGTATAGTTACGCCTCCGATGATATTCAGTGACGGGAAACCGAGCAGCTTTGAAGTATGAAGTTCTTCCAAGGGCTGGTTTAAAGCAAATGTTGGAAGAACCCTCTTCACCACACTATTAAACCGTCTTTGTTCAACTTTCTGGCTCTTCGGGAACTTTCAGCTCAAGAAATTAGACATCTAGCTCCTCGCTTATACTTCTGTTTGTTCGGTCCTTTGTTTGAACTCAATAAGCAAACCTTCACAGATGAAGAATCTTCTCTTTATCAACTTTGGGATAGTGTATTTTATTAGATGGTGTTGTGGGCTGCCCTAAGGGCTAAATCCTTTTGTGATTACACTTTGCCTACATTACTTGGACAACCTTTATGTAACTCCATTGTTCTTTGCACTTTTCTAGAAAAGTGCGGTTTCTTATATATAAAAAAAAAAAAAGTTCATGTTGGAAGGGACAAATTACAAAAAGTTATTTGTCGCTCAAAAGTGAACTAATCTGCCTTTCAAGGTTTGCCAACATAACAATTTCACAAAACAGGAACTGTGATAACAGCTTAGATTGTAGCATCGTTTCAATTTACAGAAGTTAAGCTTTCAGTGTACGTTTTACTATCAATTCAGAGGATCTCCTCCATTTAGCCATCTTAGCCGGCAAACGATTTTACTTTGTCCATGATAAATGTATTAGTTGCTAACCAATTTTGAGACAGTTATTGAGCAACATTGGTAATCTTTGAATCATGATGACTTTTCAAAGCAAAAAATGCTCTAGAAAATGGGTCCCTTAACTTGAATTCCGTTTATGGTTTTGTTGATTGTGCAGTAAGCTTAGTCTTATCTTCATATACTGCAAGATGTTTATTTCCATCTAAGCAAAGTGGAAGAAAAATGTGGGGGTGTCCAAGGCTTGTCTATGGCTATAACTGGCCCACAGTTTCTAAACACCATTTTCATAAGTCTTTTTCTTAAGAGCCAAATCGGGTCTTGCATTGGTTTATTCACTGAAAAATGCAAGACAAATGTATTCACCAACATCATGGGCTGGATTGTAATAATTGGAAGACAAACCATGTGATGCCTTATAAGTTCATGCCTCCTACAATTAGGCCCCATCCCATCCAATAGTTTCTGAGAAGGCCTATTTAATATCTATATAAATACACATTTGATTCATAAGCAACCACAAGCCTTCACATCCCCATTCAAAAGAAAAGTTCTTCTCTCTAAAACGCATTCTGCAATCTTCTTGTTGCTCTTAGTACTCTATACAAACATGGAGCTTCGCCAACTTCTTAAAAGAAACCAAGGAGTTTCAGCAGTTCCCAAGGGCTACTGTGCAGTCTATGTTGGAGAGAGCCAAAAGAAGCGGTTCGTGATCCCGATAACTTACTTGAATCAACCATGCTTTCAAGAGTTGCTTTGTCATACTGAAGAAGAATTTGGTTTCTATCATCCTATGGGTGGTCTTACAATCCATTGCAGAGACGATATCTTCACCGATCTCATCTCCCATTTGAATGATCTATGAGAGATGCATCAACATAGTGTACAATCAATCTTGTTGAATAGGGACATTAGAAATAACCAAAACCATGTACATTTTTTTCAATTTCCTCTTTTTTTGTTTCCTTCGGTGGGGAGTAAAAGAATGTTTCCCTGCATAAGGAAATTGCCAATGATGGAAATGAAATGGCCACAACTTTACTGGAAATTGAAAATGTTCATTCCTTGAAAAAGTACTCTTTATTTCATGGTTATGCTTCTCCTCTATATTTTTGCAAACAAATTATGTGGATGAATATTAACTTTAAAGAGTCAGAGCATTCACAGAAAAGATGCTAAACCATTTATATTTACTCTTTTTGGCTTGGTTGAATCAAACAAGCATTTGTAAGGATATAATAACAAAAAAATATGATAAAGAGATTTCATATTTAAATTTTGATCCAAATTAAAAGGTCCAATTCGTCTCTGCATAAGGATATAATAACTATTAATCATAATCAATGGTAGACCACGATTAGCCCTCCAATAAGGACACAGTATGGCCATATAACCATTGCTTTTCTCAATTCTCAGATTGGCCAGGAAGACAATAATGTTTCTGTTGGTTTTCATCCTTCTGCCTTGTAACTCTTTTTATTACCTTCCAGCCATAATTGGAAAACATATTTATTAGATCTCAAGTAAAACAGAGTGCTCCCAAGTTCTTACAAACAAAAGGGAATTTCCTACAGCTAATTTTCTTTTAAGGTCCTTCTCTCTCCTTGAAATTTACAGTGCCATGGGTTTCCATTGGTGTAGTTACTAAGTCTAAGCAAAGCCTTTGGTGATCTTCATTGACAGAAAACCAAACAGCACTTTAGAGGCTGAATTTTTTCCAAGGGCTGGTTTGCGGTCCATGTTGGGAAGGGACAAAAGAAGCTATTTGTTGCCCCCAAGTTTTTACTTGAACTAACCTGCCTGGCTTTCATGATTTGCCAACATAACAATTTCAAAAACTGATAGCTGAGCTAAATGGTGAGTTGGTGTGTTCATTGAAAAATGCCAGACAATGTATTTACCAACATCATTCCCTGGATTGTAATAATTGGAAGACAAACCATGTGGTGCCTCGTAACTTCATGTCTCCTACTTGGCCCCATCCAATTGTTCTAAGAAGGCCTCTTTATCATCTATATAAATACACGTTTGATATGGTTCAGAAGCAACCACAAGCCTTCACATCACCATTCAAAAGAAACTTTCTTCTCTCTAAAACGCATTCTGCAATCTTTTTATTGTACGAACATGGGGCTTCGCCAGCTTCTTAAAAGAAACCAAGGAGTTTCGGCCGTTCCCAAGGGCTATTGTGCAGTTTATGTTGGAGAAAGCCAAAAGAAGCGGTTTGTGATCCCAATAAGTTACTTGAATCAGCCATGTTTTCAAGAGTTGCTTTGTCAAGCTGAGGAAGAATTCGGTTACTATCATCCTATGGGTGGTCTTACTATCCATTGCAGAGACGACATCTTCACTGATCTTATCTCTCGCTTGAATGATCTATGAGAGATGTAGTAACATGAATAGTATACAATCAATCTTGTAGAATAGGGATATTAGATATAACCAAAACCATGTACATTTTTTCATTTCCTCATTTTTTTTGTTTCCTTCGGTAGGGAGAAAGAATGTTTCCCTGCATAAGGAAGTTACCAATGATGGAAATGAAATGGCGACAACTTTACTAGAAATTGAAGAGGTTCATTCGAAAGTATTCTCTTTATTTTATGGCTATGCTTTCTTCTTTATTTAGGCAAACCAGCTATATGGATGCCTTTTAACTTTCATAGTAGAGCTGATACAGAAAAAATGCTAAAACGTTCATATTGACTCTTTTTGGTTGCATCAAACAAGCATTTGTAAACTCTAATTGGCAATCACTTGAAGAATTTCTGATGAAGATTCTATTGAAGAGAGTTTAAGTTCTTTATTTAACGAGTTTGGTGGGGAAAACATTCCTCCCCTCAATACTACTTCTATCATAAATAATCGACCAAGGAAATCTGCTGTCCAAGACTTTGGTAATTCTATCATGATGGGTGAAAAGGAAGACCTTTTTCGGTACTTCGAAGAGCTAGGGATTACTCCTCTTGAAATCAAATCTCTTAGTTGAGCTAAATTTTTTAGCAAGGAGTTTTCTATGGAGTCTCTTCCTTGTACCAACAACGGTAGTTGTTTCATTATTTTTTGGAAGGAGGATGTTTTGGATGCTTTTGAAAATAATTCAAGATCCATTGGGACTTCTGTTCTTTTCCTCCTCTTACGAATTTGTTTCTTTTGAACATTTGTTGTTTCTTTTCATTATATCAATGAGAAGATTGTATCTTGTTAAAAAAGAATTGCCAATCACTTGAAAACTAATATTTGATTAAGAAAAACATGAAATAGTTATCATAAATTCCTTCATTTCTTTAGCTTCACCAATTGATCAATTCAATGAGCTGCTGAGATGTAGCCAAAATATTTAAGGGTTCTGTTCTATTTCCCATTATCATGAAGATTTGAGCCAAATTTCAAATTTGAATAGGAGTGTCTATTTTATAAAACAGCAAAGAGATGCTGCTAGAGAGTACAACCATGGTAACTTCTTGGTTTCTTTAAGAGCTAACTTTTCAAATTTCAAACTTGTTGATTAGGCAGTAGGGTAGAGCTGCAGGCAATCTACATGTGATAGTGGGACTGCTGACTTGTGATCTGTCTTTTTAGGTGTGATTGATGAAATCAAGACCTAAACTTGTAACAGTAATATGTCTTTCATTCAATTTCAGCTGGTAGGCAAAACCATGTGGTTCCCTCTTACCTATGTCCTTCACTGGGCCCAATTGGCTAATTTCTACGCCACCACTTGCTGTCTAAGGAGGACCAAAATATTCCATCTTGTGTATATATAGGAGGCGATTCTAAGGAACTCACCACATTTCCAAATTGTTCTATCTTCTATTCAAACATTACTTGCAAAATCAGTTCAAAACATACAGTTTGCCATCATGGGAATTCGTCTACCTGGTGTTGCTAATGCCAAGCGGATTCTGCGATTGGCTGATCGGAATTCGGATGTGATTCCGAAAGGCCACTTGGCTGTTTATGTTGGAGAAGCACAGAGGAGGCGCTTTGTTGTTCCAGTTTCATACTTGAGTCATCCTTCTTTCCAAAAATTGCTGAGTCAGGCTGAAGAAGAGTTTGGTTTCCACCATCCCATGGGTGGTCTCACGATCCCGTGCCGAGAAGAAGCTTTCATTAATCTCACTTGTAGTCTAAATGGCTCGTGATCCAGGCAGCTAGATTTAGTTTAGAAAAGTAGACAGCGTATAATAGGATCAACAGTTTTGACATTGAAATTCATCTTTCAAAGTCAGTGTATAGTCCATTCTTTTCATTGAAGGAAACAGGATAATGAGATTACTCAATCCAAACACATTGGTTAGAAACCCTTCCTTGCTTGTGTTCCTACTTCAAGTCATAAAACAGAAATATCAAGAAAATCAGATACACATATGCTAATAATAATGGCTTTCCTTTGAATTTTCCCTCAAAGTTCCTATATCTATCAGAAAAACTTGTTAATAAAGGGGTAAAGGGTCCTATTGAAGTTTGAAATTCTATATATCTTTTTTAGGACATAAGAGCAAGTAGTTTTACAATAACAAATTTCCAAGAAAGTATTTTTCATGGCATCATCAAATATCTGGAAGGATCTGCAATATCAAAAGGGGTGAAAAAATAGCTAGGCCCCACAATTAGATAAGGATAAAGGACAGCATGATGTAGAAAATGGGGTAGCTATTCTAAGTGGGACCAATTCACAAAGAAAGGGTCAGTGAAAACAACCAATCAAAACAAAGTTCTATTTGATGTGATAATAGACAGAACCATGTGTTATCTTCAAAGGATTGCACATGCCAACAGATGAACAATCTGAATCAGGCTTAACTTCTTAGAAGACAGAACCATGTTATCCCACAAGGGCGCTGGTCACGTCTTCTGTAGCTCAGCTTGCAGAGGCAACCACATTAACCGAGCCACGCCTCCATCTCTCCACCGCTTGTTGGTTCATCTTTATATATGCACAAGAAGTTACTCCACAGCCACTTAGTACTTAAATTGAGCTGAACATAAAACCAGAAAAACGAGACGAAAGACAAAATATTATCAATAAAATGTATTATCAATTGAAAGGTTGTGTCGATTTTTCTATCCACCCTTCAGTTGGACGCCATCTTACAAAATCAGAACCTCCTTTTGATTATTCCCTCTCTTTTCTGAATCAGTTCAGATAGGAAGTTTGGATTATGTGCTGCTACCAATCTACCAAGTTTGGATTGTGTACACAAAATGGAATCTAAAGTAAGATGACAATAATCAAAGTCTATTTGACAGGAAATAATATAGTTTTTGATTCAGTGAATATACTGAATAGCAATATACAGTTCAAAACATATACCACCAATGACAGTACCATTCAAAGAAGTTGAGTTGGCTGTTTTCATTTACCATGTGTTGAAGATCACAAAAAAACTCGACCAGTGTATTTCTCTAGTGCCCAATGGAGTTAGTGCTTTCTGTTTCCTGTGAAAAAGACAGGACAACAAGGTTTACCAGCATCACTCACTTTACTTATCAGTATTGGAGGACAAAACCATGTGCTACTGCTTAAGCACTTATCTCTTGCTAGGCCCCGTCCAAGGATTTATGGCCACTGGTTCCATAACCTTTCAATTTCTTCATCTATATATACATTAGATTTCTTATACAAACAACACAATCTTCTCATTCCCTTATTTTCTCAAGGAGCATTGAAACATTCTTCCATCTGTTAGGATATCTTCCATCAAGTTTATCCAAAAAGATATGGGGCTTCGTCATCTTCTCAAGCGGTCTCTGGTGACAAGAAACCAGAGAGTTTCAGCAGTTCCCAAGGGCTATTGTGCAGTGTATGTTGGAGAGAATCAAAAGAAGCGGTTCGTGATTCCAGTAACTTACTTGAATCAGCCATGTCTACAAGACTTGCTTAGTGAAGATGAAGAAGAATTTGATTACTATCATCCAATGGGTGGTCTTACATTTCACTGCAGAGATGATATCTTCACTGATCTGATCTCTCACTTGAGCGAACAACTATGAGAGACAACAACAAATTTGTAGAGTAAAATTTTGATCAAGGACAATAGGCATAGCAAATTTCATGTAAATTCTTTCCATTTTGCTTAATTTTTTGTTTCCTTCCATGGGAGTAGAAGAATATCTCCCTGCTTGAGGAAATTACTAATGGATATAACTTTATGAATAATGAAGAGCTTCTTTCTTTCCACAAATCCCTCTTTTTTCTTTGCAATAAATATTCTTATGTTTTAACAATTGTTTTCTTCTATCAATTCTTGAACTATCATGAAAGCCTTGTTGGTTGTTGTTAAGGGTGTGACCGAAACTAAAAGCGAGGAAGACCGAAACTGAAACTGAAAGTGAGGAAGATCATAGGATCATAAGTAAGTACAATATCTTTATGAATATTATAACAAATCATATTAAACTAAGTTATCCACAATTTGATGTAGTTCTGATGCCAATTTTCTGATACTGTTGTGGACACCCAAGATAGATATTCAAGTTTATAGCAAGGGTCATGAGAAGAAGAATGCTTTCTTTGGATGATACAAACTAAACAAAAACGAATAGTTGAAAGAACTCTCCATTTCCGTTTCAGGCTTACTTTCGGTGCAAACTAAACAAAAACAAACATTTCAGAGAACTCTCAATTTCTATTTTTTGGCTTACTTTCAAATTAACCAGACTCGATTGTTTCTACTTGCAGCAAACCAATTCAAAAGACACATGCCATAATTAAATGATGAAACACACATCTGAATGTATCAAATTGTGATGTTTATTATATAGATGCAAATTGTTTCAGCCGAATTCTGATCATGGTAGGAGCACGTGAGAACTGGTTATCATGGGAATCCGTCTGCCTATATGGTTGGTGTCAAACAGATTTCTAGAGGTACATAAAATGGAATATAAACTGACAACAATATTTGAAGTTTATTGGTTGGGAAACAGTTTAGTTTTCTTCATCCAGTGAACTTATATTAAAAAGACAAATACAGTTCAAGACATATACCACCAATGACAGTATCATTCAAAGAAGTTGAGGTAGCTGTTTTCCTTTATCATGTGCTGCAGCTCACAAAAAATTCTCCCAATGTATTTCTCGAGTGACCAATGGAGTTGGTGCTTGCTGTTTTCTGTGAAAAAGACAGGATAACATAATTTACCAGCATCACTCACTTTACTAATCAGTATTTGGAGGACAAAACCATGTGCTACTGCTTAAGCACTTATCTTTTCCTAGGCCCCATCCAAAGATTTCTGTCCACTGGCTTCATTACCTTTTAATTTCATCATCTATATATACATTTGATTTCTTACACAAACAACACAATCTTCTCATTCCCTTCTTTTCTCAAGGAGCATTGAAGCATTCTTCCATCAATTTTATCCAGAAAGATATGGGTCTTCGTCATCTTCTCAAGCGATCTTCAGTGATAGGAAAACAGAGAGTTTCAGCAGTTCCCAAGGGCTATTGTGCAGTGTATGTTGGAGAGAATCAAAAGAACCGGTTCGTGATTCCAGTAACTTACTTGAATCAGCAATGTCTACAAGACTTGCTTAGTCAAGCTGAAGAAGAATTTGATTACTATCATCCGATGGGCGGTCTCACATTTCACTGCAGAGATGACATCTTCACCGATCTAATCTCTCACTTGAACGAACAACTATGAAAGCAACAACATTTGTAGAGTACAATTTTGATCAAGGATGATAGACATAGAAAATTTCATGTACATTCTTTCCATTTTATTTAAGTTTTTGTTTCCTTTCTGGGAGTAGAAGAATGTGATCTCCCTACATGAGGAAATTTCTAATGGATATGACTTATTGACTTTATGGATAATGAAGAGCTACTTAGTTTGGTTACTTGAATCTTCATTACTTGGCTGATTCAATTGGTGGTTTTAATTCTAATTATTTGCCAACTCAATCTATCTCTGCTGATAAAGAACATATTTTTCTCTCTATTTCTGGTTCTATGCTTGAGAAAATCACTGCACTCTGTTCCATAAGTTATGAAGAAGCAAATTGATAACTGAAGTTCTATTCAAGAATGTCGTGCTTCAAAATTAGAAATCAATTTCTTTCATTCTTTCTAGATTTCTTTGGTAAATCCTTCTATCTGATCTGGGGCCTCAAATTAGCAAACTTTGAAGAATCTATTAACTACAATAAGGACAATAACTACAGAGAAATCAAATAGTGTATCATGAAAGTTAGTGTGTTTCTGTTCATCAATTGAAATTTCTAGACTGGCCAAGCAGTAAATATCTCATCTAACATATATATATATATTTCATTAAAATTGGTGGTTCTGATCCTGTTGGGGTCTAGATTTTGGGTCATTGAACACATTCACTATCTGGGTTCCTTACAGTTTTCCTTCAGTCAACCCTTCACTTCCTTTCCTTCTTAACCTATTCTCTTCATTTTTTCCCAAAATCTGTTTTTCTGTGGTAGGCATGTACTGTTAAAAATGGAAGAGTTATCATGGTTTTCCTTCAATAAAGAAACCGAAATACCAGAATATTTTGTGTTTAGAAATATCCACTGTCATAAAATTGAAAACTAGAACTTTATGGGGCATTGGGCCAACAAAAGAGTTGAACAAAACAATAGAACTCAGTTTATCCCTTTCATACTCCAAAGTTGGGAGCAGTATCACTTTTGATTATATTAAATGTCTATGTTTTTCAGATAGAAATCTGATGCTATCTCAAGAGAAACTTGAAATTTGATGAAATTAATGAATGTGCCTTCTACATAGCTACATGCTACATTTCAGACGATGGAAGCTGAATTCTTCTTCTACCTGAAGTTGAGTATGAAACTGAAAGCAGAAAATGAATATGTTCAAAGATATCGAAATGATCTTCCAGTTCTGGGAGGTTTCCATCAAGAGAGACATTACTGTCGAGATTCTAGTCTCCGCTGGATTTCCTCAATTTTTACAATGAGATGACCTTCTATCTCTAGCTTCTGATGGCAAAATTGTGTTCAATGACGTTAATCCTCAAGCTCTAAATTGAGAAGTAAGATCAAGGAAAAAGTCTTCACTACATGGAATTGTGATGCCACCCATTGGATGATCATATCCAAATTCTTCTTCTGCTTGGCTTAGCAAGTCTTGAAACAAAGGCTGGTTCAAGTAAGATATCGGAATTTTGTCCCTCTCCAACATAAACTGTAAAGCACCCTTTGGAACATCTGCAGCCTTCAAATCTGCTTGGTTTCCAGTCAACGGAGATCGCCAATGGACTTGCTTAGCACGAGTAATACCGGACAACCTGAAACCCATGGTACTGCAAGTTTCAAAGAACTTGAAGATCCTGAAAGAAAAGAACTTGGAAACTTCTTCTGAATGCGAGAGTGTGGAAGACTTGTGATGGTGAGAATCCATCAATATGATTCTATATATAGATGAAAGGATAAGGTGGAACTCCTTAAAAATGGGGACAGTAGACAGAAGGATAAACCATTCAATAAAGGTATTAGCTCAATACCAACCACATGGAAATGTCCTCCCTTACCAAAATGAGAATGTGAAATCATTGTGTTAAATGGCAACATCTATCCATTTGCAGAAACATCATGGCCTACTTCAAAGGCAAACAATCTACAAGAAAAGTATCTTTAAAGATAAGCCAAGGCCAAATTGAAGGCCTTTGCATTCTTTATGGTGAGACGTCACTGGAGGACCGCTCATTGGTTGTAAAGTTATACAGTTCCATCTACCAATTTTTCATCTGCAGGACTATGTTAGAGATGCTAACTGCAAATAAATCATCTGTTAACATGCCTTTATCAGAGTATTATTGTGCTTAGACCAGGTATAGTAGAGTAATTTGCAATTATCCCTTTATTATAATTGCAAAGGATTGTTTGTCTGTCAAAAAAAGTATTTATTAGGGATTGAACTGCTAAAGGAAACATCTTTTCAGCAACATGAATGAATCGAAGACCAAAGCCTATGGTAGGCCTTTTATCTCACAAAAACCATTTTCATTTTGTGGTCAAAACAATTGTGATGTATTGAACTTTGGAACATACACCAAAACTGATTTCATATTCTCTGTTTTCTGTCATAATTTCAGGTCCAAACTTCTCGATTAAGAAGCCGTGCTTTAGTTTCCGGGATGTAGACTTTGAGTTTTTGCCCTGTCAGCACAGTTTCTTCCATAATCAAAGCATTTTCAAAGGAAGAAGCACTGGTAAAAGGTAGTATACATGAAATACAGTAAAATACAAACATGTTTCATACACAATGGGAACTTCTGGATCATTTTAAGCATACGAAAACAAGCTACTAGAAAGTTACCCGAATATCATACTGTTTCAACTTTCAACACTGATATACCAGCCAAAAGAACTACTCTTTTTTCTTCTATTATAGAAGTTTTGAGGAGACAAGTCTATGTTCACAGAAATTAGTTGTAATGGAATGAATCCTGTCTCTGCTTGCTATTCTCAGCGCACCATTCATATTTGGAGACACTGATACTGAGGCTAGACATGGTTATGTAAGTTTACCAATTTTACACAAGCCAAGTATGCTTGAGATGTTACTTTTTTCAAGAAGTAAAGTTTCTTTTTAAAGATATCATAGAATTCAGTTAAAGTATGAGAGCCACCACTTCTTCATGCACCATAAGCTCCCGCAAGAATGACAAATTGAAACTCTAGATCGAGTATAAATTGGAGTCATTGGTTTCATGTTGTATTAAATGTAGGAAACCTATTTGCTTTCTCGATAGAACTCAAGTTTTGAACATATCATAAGTTCTATAAAAAATGTAAATTAATGGATTTGTCATCTCATTTACATCTAAATGTGTCCTCTATTAGCTACTAGTATTCTCTCCAAATTCCATAACACTTATAGGCCTAAGTGATGGGTTAAATTTTCCCATATTTTTGCAGACTAAACTAATATGGAAGATTGTACTCAGGTAAACTTGAAAGATAGGATTATATATTCACTTAGAAGTTAAATTATGCCACTGATGTTGGCAAATATGATATTATGGGAATGTTACTTTACTTTTGTAGATAGTACACAGAAATATATCCAATGACAGAAGAAATATACATTAAGATAAAATCATCCAATTGAAAATTAGTACATGATATCTTTCTCAATTCAAAAATGGTAACCGGGTCAGCGCTGTTAGCAAGCATCTACGACGATCAACCTATATTCAAGGCCATGAAGAGTGCTTTCCAATCTAACTGTTTCTAGCCAAATGCCTGAAGAAAATCTCTTCTGTACAAGAGAATGTAAGGCCACCCATTGGATGATCATATCCAAACTCTTCTTCAGACTGACTCAACAAGCTATGGAATGAAGGGTTGCTCAAATATGCAACAGGGACCAAAAATCTCTTCTTTTGATCAGTCTCTCCAACATACACAGCCAAGTGGCCCTTCGGGACCTCTGCAGTTCTCGAAGACTGATGAATGCGCCTCAGAAAGTGCTTTGAACTCACAATCCTTGGCAAAGAGATGCCCATTTTTGTCAAAGGAACTCTTGGAGTGGAGGGAATTTAGTTGGTGATGGTAAATGAATCTTAAGAATTGGAAATGGTAGCTCCTGTGATGGAATCGGTGTTTCTTTGGATTGTGAGTGTATATATAATGAGAAGAGAAAAAGAGTTGTGAGCTCCAGCCTGAAAAACCAATTGCCTTTTGTAGTGAAAGAAAATCAGCCACAATGGATTGAGTTTTTGAGGGCATAATCCAAAAGAATCACATGGCTTTGTCTCCCAACAAAGAGCCATGGTGAACTTGATTTTCCTTTTGTTAACTTTCCATCACAACCCCATAAGGACCTACACTTTATCAGTCAAACAAAATTATTTTTTGGCCATCATTACATTCATACATTGTGGATCATTTGGGAAAAGAATCATTTCAAGAGACCAATAATAATCAGAATCATATGGCAGATAATCTTTCAAAAACGTAAATCAAAGGCGATAGATTGTCGATGTTCTCGACCATATATGCATGTGAATGCTACAAGTTCTTTCACCTCCTGAAGATTATAGGAACTTGGCCATGAATCTGATGGGGTCGTAGCTCAAGTAATTCAAATAACAAACAGACCAAATAGTTCATTTCTGTATACTTTGTTTCTTCTTGATTCTATGAACTGATGTGAAATGAGTTGAGACTCGAATAAAAAGTATACAGATGAATTTATGGGGAGGAGAAGTGTTCAGTTTATCACCACAAATGGTGCCTTCAAAAAGTAAGCAATTGGATTCTTGACGAACCAAGGATTATAAAGATAAAAGTATGATCTTATCCAAAGTTCATTTCAGCTGATTGTGAGTGTATCTGGTAGTACTGTTTTTGGTAATAATCCTGTATGATTTTTTCTGGACAAGAGTTTCCTCTTAGTGTCAACTTTTAAGAAAATTAACAATGATAAACTTGAAGCCTCGTTTGTTGGGAATGCGAACAAAGTGTCACATTGGCTAAATAAGGAGGAGAAAATGGATATATAAGATACGACAATTATCTCTATTGATATGACGCCTTTTAGGTAAAACAGAAAATAAAGCCGTGAGGGTTATGTTCAAAGTAGACAATATCATACCATCGTAGATATACTTGGGGTACGATGGGTAATAGTTTGGTAACAATTTCGTTCTTGGTTTTTTGTTTTTAAAATTAAGCTTAGAAATACTACTTCCACCATGTTTCTTCGCTTTGTTATAAAAAAACGTTTATGAGATCCTTAGCCATTGCTAAATTAAGGTAACAAACACCAAAAAGATGTCATACATTTAGCTACTTCTACTCTCATGCCCCACTCGTTAAATTTGTCTTAAAAATTATTTGGTTTCCTTTCAAACCAAATTTTTTAAATAGTCGCCTTAAACATATTCGCGGCCTTTGAACAAAGAAGTTGAATAATATTATTCTTAGAGCTCTTGTCCACTGTGATAGATTTGAGTCTTGAAATAATACCTGTCAAAAATGTGTTTTTTAGTACAACATGTAGAGGTGGGGATCGAACTCACAACCTCTTAGTTGGAGATATATGTCAATTAACTACTGAGTTATGCTCGCTTTAGCGAATATCGAGATCATTTAAAAAAGAAAATGATTTCCAATGTTCACTTGGTGTGTGAATACGTGTTTTGAATGACATTAATTTACCATTTGAAACATAGATTCACATTCCCACCTTTACACATTAAATAAATTATGCATCAAAAGGTGATACCCAAGATTCTATTTAGTAGAATATATAATGAAGATGGGACCCCTTACATAAAACCTCTCAAAAATTGAAAGCAAAATAAAAAAACACAAAAAATAAGAAACAAAAATATTACCAAAAGTGACCTTAATAATTTATTTTGTAAATATCTTTGAACGTGAGACACGATTATATGGACCATACGTGAGATTCTTGTTTAAAGAAATAATGCTAATTTTTTTAAAGAAAACAGGCAAGATTTCTAACTGCATTTTTTTTTTCTTTCTATAATGGTAGAGTTGGAAATAATTTCAATTTACGTACTTCTATCAAACGTGGAAGGAAAGAGGGCCATAAGAGTTTATTTCCCTGCACGAGACCACAAATACGTATAAACATAATGGAAAAATATAAATTTTAAATCTGAATGTGTCAGTTTACACCTCCTTACACTTGTGATCACAAGACACGGAGATAAGGGAATGGTTTCACAGCGGGGAGGAAGCCCATGGACGAGACAACGTTTTGTTAATCACAATATACAATATACTTCGTTTAATGAAAGTTTAAGGGGGCACATGCCCCCGGTCCTACATGGACCCGTCCCTGTTTACCATAATAGAAGAAATAGTCATAGGAGCTTATTTTACTATAATAGAGTAGATACAAAAGTAGCAGCAGCAATAGCAGGTGCTAATTCCCTTGGAACAAATAGGGATGAAACTATGAAATTCTAATATCATTTTCTTCCTAACTAAATCTCTTCTTTTGTTCTTGGCTCTGGCCATAATAATGTGGAGTGTTGAAATAATATCTGCCAAAAGTTCTGCGCACACAAACATTGAAAGAACAAGTTGAATAGTCTAAACAATATTTTTGAGCATCAGAAACAATTATAAGAGACCATACGCGAGACTCTCTTTCATTTCTCTTGTAATCTTCATTTTTGCAATGGACCTGTAAAGCCTACATGAGATAAAATATATGATAAGTCGGGGTGAACCTATATAAATCCGATATCGTTTCATTCCTCCCTAAATGCTATTGTAAATAGAATTTAAGATTCACAACCTTTCCATCTCAACAATTCATATATACATTATGACATTGAAAAGAGAATCTTGAAATTCAAATGTACATTATCACACTGGAAAGAAAATCTTAAAAGCATGCTTTGTAGAAAAAGGCGATCTCATTGGATTCACTGATTTGAAGAAAGTGGTAGGTCATCATTTGCTGCATTATCGTACAGAAAGCCAATCAATATTAGGAAAATGACTCAGAAGACAAAGGCATGTGACTCCCAAAGCTTTCATCTTCACTCACTAAAAGTAGTAATTTCTATGATGTATACTATGCTCCCCCACCTTATCACTTTCAAACACCTTCTTGATCATTGGATCTTTTTCACTTCTAATACTTCTTATCCTTCAGCATCAAACTGCTACTAGTTTAGCAAATAAGATTATTGTTTGGTTTATAAAAAATAAATTAGGGGTAATAGATTACAAGAAGTGGGGGATTCAAGTCTCTAACTTTCCAGGAGGTAGGTAATGTTTTCCCCCGTTGAACTATGCTCATGTCGGCTTCATTATCCAAAAGTTGTAGTTTACTTTTCAGGGTCGACTCATTGGACTGGTGCCAGGCCTTTTCTAACAGAATGTATTTCTTCCAACAGTCTGAGGTGGAAAGTTGACAGCCGTTGGGATTATGCATATGGGGATAAGATTTGATAAGCCCGCAAAGAATATTAAAAAAAAATTATTGCATAGCTTCAACACATTTCTTAATCATGGACTAACTTCCCCTCTTCAACAGAGAAAATTTGATCATGATATTGGACTTTACATACCTATGTCAAGGACTGCTACAGATTAAAATCCTGAAGTATCCTTCCATTCCAGTACTTGACACTGTAAGGTCATACGGAATCCATAAACACCTCAATTAGGTAATGATGTGAGTTGTAGTTTAGCTTTCAGATTATACTTCAACAGATTAAAGTTCGCGTGGAGTGATAGTGATGCCATATGGAATCGCCAACCTGGTTGAACTGAACACCATCTTATCCCTAAAAGGTCGATATTTGAAGATATTTTTCGCACCTTCTTCGTAGCAATTTCTACTTTGCTTCTGAGAACCCCACGCGATGTGGATTTGCTCGGAGAAGTCTTCAAAGATCCTGAGCCGCGTGGACTAAACCTTCCAGATCATGGACACCGGCATTTATTATCTGTCCTGGAAGCGTAAATTCTTGATGAAGAATATGAAATCACATTATCAAAGCATTTAGTAGATGGGCTCACAAAAGTGCTGCAAAAAGTGAAGGCCATTAAATTGATAGAAAGAACAAAATTTCACACTGAAGCGTCATACTCTTGCAAAAAGTTCAAGTATATAATGACTATTCATGACTCTCATGGAGATACTGAAATTTAGTTGACAGCAAGAAGAAAATGAGCAAGTTGGGGCACTGTTTTCTTCAAACTGAGGGACCCTTGAATCAACCAAATGAGCCCACATAGGCTGGTTGGCAAGTTGTCAAAGGGGATAAAAAAAGAACAAGAACAAACCCAAAAAAGCAAGCAACTAAAGAAGCAGTCCAAGTTCAGTGCTTAAGGCAAGTAAACTAAAAATGAAACTTAAATATTTCCTTTAATTGGAAACAAACTACATGTTGCTAAGAACATGCCCAGCATCAATTAATTCTAGTGCTTTATTTGATCTAGAGGCTCAGGGATTCACAAGTTGTCCTACTTTTTTCTTCCCTTTCTACATATTTGGGCAAGGAAATGGTAGGGCATGGTGTTTTGCACTAAACAAGGCAAACCATGTGAAAGATTGGCAACTTCTTCACCTGCTATGTTTTCCCCTCCTATTACTTTTCTACTTCATCCATAATTCAAATCTTGACACAAATTCTCTATATATATATATATAACCACACACTCACACACTCACTCACTCAAAGCACATTAACAAGTACCAAACAAGTCCTTTCAAATCAAGTTCAAAACAAAAGGGGGTTCTTCGTTGTTACCGAGCACAAAGAAATGGGAATCCACTTGACAGGGATAGCAAATGCGAAACAGAAGCTTCAGAGAACTCTTTCGGCGAAATACGGGATGGGATCGGCAGTGACGAATGTTCCGAAAGGACATTTCGCAGTGTACGTGGGAGAAACACATAAGAAAAGGTTTGTGATTCCGATATCGTACCTGAATCATCCATTGTTCAAGGATTTGCTGAACCTTGCGGAGGAGGAATTCGGATTCGATCATCCAATGGGTGGCCTCACCATTCCTTGCAGCGAAGATTACTTCATCAGTTTAACTTCAGCCCTAAATTGTTCATAGATTTTCTTCTTCTTCTTCTTAATCTTCCGCTCCCAATTAACATTTTTCTGCTTCGATTTTTTTGTAAAAGAATGGAAATCGAGAGATTCAAACCTAGTCTCTATGAATTTAGTATTGTTATTATTGATCTGTTATTCCTAATTAATATTAAATACTCGTTTCAAATCAAAAGACTGTCCAAATATATTACTAAATTTTTATTTTTTATGAAATTATTTTTATATGTCAATTAAATCATGCTTACTTTGACAATAAATTACTTAATAGTTAGAATTATTTTGTTAATTCAAGTACGAGAATAAGACACCAATTATCTTCCTCTACATTTATATGTACGAAAAAAAATTAATATAATTGAATTAATTTATTTTTTTACTAAATTCGATACAGGTATTACGCTTCTTTTTACATTGCAAGCCTACTTTAAAGGTCTGTGATTAATTATTTGAGGGATTGCATCTATGAATAATTAATAATATTTCTTAGTTAGAAACTATTTTCACTCATTTTTGTTATTTTAAAGATATTATTTTTGTAAACCTCCTAGTTATAGATATATTTTTTTAAAAGTTTAACATAGTTTAAGAAAAATATTTAAGAGATATAAAATAATATTTACAAAATTAGTCTAAATATAGTGGCTAAAAAGATTAGACTTATAATTTTGTTGGATAGATCATTTATAATATATATTTTTTAACATTTTTTTTATGTCACAGATATATGTTGATGTTAGTAATATATAGATAACTTATTATTATGTTTTTGTTGTTTTATTTATTATTTATTAATTACATTCAGATTAAAAGGAATCTTCTAACTTTATAAATTTTGAAATAATGATTTCAAAATACTAAATAATAAATAAACCCCATGTTTACAAGTCGTCTTTCTAAAAGTTGCTTTAAAAACAAAGTTTTGAAAATAAAACCACCAAATTATTATTATTTTTTTTTGGGATAAACATAAAATCATTTTTTTTCTGAATGACGTCAAAATGGGTGGCTAAATGTCACTATTTTCAAGTGTTTTGAAATTATTTTTGAAAATGAAATGATGGTGATAGCAAATAATTATCTTTATTTATTAATTTTTAAGTGTTTTTATCTTACATCTAGCTTGCTCATAGATATTTTTCACATTAAAGTTTTGCATTTAAATATTTGTAGCTTTTTATTTTGAGCTATTATTATATACAATTTTGCTCATCTTACTCTTCCTCTCTAATATATTGTTTTTTTCCGACTTAAAAAATATAACAATTAAAGACTTATTTGGTAACGTCCTCGTCTCTTATTTTTTATTTTTATTTCTTTTATAAATATTAAGCATTTGGTAATTGTTCATGTTCTCATTTCTAATTTTAGAAAAATCTTTCCAAAATTACGTTAAAATTTTAGGAACAACAAAATCAAGCTTCTTGTTTCTTATTCAGAATAGGGATAAAAGTATAATTTTATCATTTTATTTATAAAATACATAATAAATATCAAAAAAAAAATAAATGTAACATAAAAATTTTGAATAATTAATTGTCATATAAAACTTTAATTTTTTTAATTTAAAATTTTAAAGAATAAGAAACAAGAAAAATAAACATATTAAAATGGTTACCAAATACAACTGTGTTTTTCTTTTCTTTTATTGAAAAAGATAAAATAAGAAACAAGAAACGAGAAACATGAATATTATCAAATTGACCCTAAATTTTTTAAGACAAAAACTTCGTCAAAAAGTAATTAGGTAGAAAAATGAGTCAAGTGAAGAAAGGGAAAAAAAAAATTCTTACAAACGAAGCTCTAATATGATCCAATAATATCACATAAGTCCCATTATGATTTAACTGCAACAAAACTTTTAATGAAAAAAACTAATTTTTGTTTAGTTCATTAATTTATAGGGATGAGAATCGAATTATCAACCTTTGAAATGATAATAAGTGTTTTGTACTCTATTAAACGATATTCAAATGAACGTGAACAAAACGTAATTGTTACATTTTTTAGAAGTATAGAAACTTAAATATTTATTAAAGAAAATACATATATAACTACAATATTGGACCAAGAAAGGAAAAAAGAAAAACATTTTTTCCACAAATGTACCTATAAACTATAATTGTGTTCAAATAAGAGACAAGGACAAGACTTGGAAAGCCTCTTTCATTTGAAAAGATTAAGGAAAATTACAAGTTTTCTTTAAGTCAAAATCATGTCTTTTTGTTAACAGCCCACTACATATGCTACTCCCAATTTCAATCACAAATTAGAAAAACCAACAAACTCAATAACATCTCTTTTTCCACTAGGAAAAGAAAAGAAAAAAAAAAGCTCTAACTCCTTTTTCCTAGTTAAATTATAATGTAATATGGAAAGTTTTAAGAAGCTAAAGTTAAAGTTATGTCTATATTTTGTCTTTTTTTTTTCTACCGTGAATATTGATCGATGAAATGTAGTCTACCAATTATTCTAAAGTAAAACTTAGATGAGGTGACGTAATATAATAGCTAGTTGAAATGAATTTTATAAACAGATAATTACAACTTAACTATGTTTTTACCTTGCTTAACCATATCACTCTCCCATATCTAGCTCGTCTTTAATATTTCTATTTTATTCCTTTCAAAATATTTTTTGAGTTGTTATTTTCACTATTTCTAACTTTTAATGTTTGACGATGTGACTTATCAGAGTTAGAGTTTTCACATGTTAAGAATTATTGGTTTGTATGGACTAGAGTTGAGAAATTGATCATATAATCTCTATATATACATAACTCAATTAGCAAATTATATATAATTGTAGGAACTTTCCAATCTCAAACTACACAAACCAAATTCATGAACGGATCATTCTTCGGATGACTACTATTCTATCAAAAATGAGATCACTCTTGCATGTCAACTTCAATTACTATTCATTTACAAGATAAGATCATTGAGACTACACGCTTTACCAAGTCTTGAATGGATTGAATCTAGTGCAACTTCATTCCTATCCTTTGAAGATAAGACGACCCGTTATTAACTCAATAAGATGGCCTACAAAACCTTTAAAACAAAATAAGGTTCACAGCGTGTATCTAGCACATACTAAAATGTGTTATCTCACGTAAAGTCGTTCAAATCGACCTTTATGATAGGATAATGTGGATATGATATTTTCATGACACTGTAAAACTTTATTTTTCGGTAACCATCTTTTCTTTTTTTTTTTAATATTCACGTCTAAGAAATTTTACCTATTTATGAATAATACTTTACGCTTATTCTCTTTTATCCTATATCTAAAACTTAACACATTTATCATTTGACACATTCTTAAATATGATTAAAGATATTATAAATGTTAAAAAAAATATATATAGACACAAACCATTCAAATGAGGTCAACTATAAATTTAAAATAAAATAGAGAAATTAATCATAAAATGTCTAAGAAGAGCACTCAAAAGTAAAACAACACAATATTATAGTAAACAAGCTATCCTAGATTAATTGGTCTAGTGATGATCGAGATAAGGAGAAAGAGCAAATAAACACTTAAAAAAATATATTCAAATTCCATGATGAACACTTCAAGGGATTATTAGTCCATAAAGTCCGATCGAACATTCACAATATAATTAAGACCTTTAGATAAAGACTTAAATATTATTTTGATCTTGTACTTTTAAATTTTAATCATTCTGGTCAATGTATTCTCCTTTTGCTCGACGAATAGATTTGTTTCTTATTTTCAAAAAGTGACAATGTTAATCCATTTAATTTTTATTTTTACCTCATTTATTTCGATCATAATTTTTATCAAAGACAACTTTACTTGTACTAAATAGCTCCTATTCTAAAATTTTTCAAATAAGTATTAAACTAGTCATCTTTTTAAAAGTACCAGAATCAAAATGAACATTTCAAAAATATATTAAATGAATGAAGAGACAAAAAATAGTACAAAATACAATGTTTTAATAAATGGAACTGTATTAGAGAAAAAAAAAACAACAAAATAGAATAATTGGAATTTAGTATGAATAGTGGAAGACGCGGACACCAAAAGTGAAGCAGACCTATCTGCCTGTGTTAAGAAAGAAAAGACTTTCCACATGTTTATACCGTGTGAATATTAATACGGCATCAGAGTCCAAAAACTCAAATAATGAACCTTTAGTCCAAAAAATGATATCGAGCCAAAAGAACTACGATATTGAAGAACACTAATATTACAGGTGTCGAGGCATTAAATGGAAGGGGCCGCGGCCGTGGCCGCGTCTGACAGAAGTAGAACTTGAAGTCAAATGCAAAGAATGGCTTGGGATTAGGGTTAGGGTTAGGGTTACCGTACAGACAAAATCTGAGAGTTTCCGTGCAGAAGCCAGCGGCAGAGAGGCAGAGCCATTATTAGGGCATGAATTAAGAAACTTCGGATTCGGATTCGGATCCTCCTCCTTCTTCTTCGTCTTCGTCTTCTTCTTCTTCTTGTCGGCTGATGGCTCACATTCTTTTTCTCTGTAGCAGATGCCGACGAATCGCATTCATTCCTCCACTCTGTTACTGTACGGAAATCTTATGCCCTCTGCCCCCTTCCCACACGCGGATGACAGATGGAGATTTGAAATATGCATGCTTCTCATGATTATTGGAACATATTTGGCTGTCACGAACGTGCACCAATCTATTCTGTATTCTCGTGTGATAATTGAAAGAGATAAATGTAAAAATATATATTTTCTTTTTAATTATTTAAACGAGTTGTTCATTTATTTTCGGTGGTGATGAGTATAAGATTTGGTTGAACCAAGTATTTTTCATAACTATTTAATATAGGTTAATTTGAACATAGTTCAAATTTTTGAAAATCCCACCTATTTAGTATTTTTGGACCATTAACACACTATTGAGAATAAGAAAGAGTCGGTAGTCTCGACTATTTTAAGTCACTCCCCTCCTACTGATATGACTTTTTTTTTCTTTTTCTTTTGCTGCGACATGGAATCACGAAGAAGTTAGAATAACTTAGAAAGATAGTGGTACCTAGCCATTTAGAGTATTTGTTTCCTTTGTAGAGTAATAGTACGATTTTAGATTGGTACGTTATACATCATCGATAAAAATGTTGAAGGTTTGAATCTCGTCTCGTTGAATTTAAAAGAATAAAAAGAAAAACTATTGAATGCATATTCATTCAAAATAGTACAACCAATGAGATAAAATGAGTCACATTATGGTCGGCTGGCCACCTTCGAGAACTTCTTTGCTGATGGACTTCAAATTAAAGTTCCATCGAAAATTATTGAATGAGGCTCCATGCCCCTAATAATCAATGATGCGTATAAATTTGAAATATTTGTATAGAATTATCAGCCACATTTATCTCGACTTTTTTTACTCCTTCCGTACGTTATAAATTTACTTTTATGATAATTATTTAATATTGTTGGACCCCGTATATTATTAAATGATATAATAACATGAAAGACAATAAATGAGAGTAGTATTCATATTCTCATAATATTTTAACTTTTATTCATTTAGATCCTATATTGTTTAAACTATTAATTTAGTTATTTTGGCTTTTTACCGTTGTATTACTTAAAACGTCTCTACCTCATCATAGAAAAAGTGGAACTTTAGGGGAAGATATTGCTATACTTTTAACCATGAAACTATACACATTTATTAGTTGTTATTGGTAGTGTTAGTAAAATAAGGATGTGTTAAGAATTGGAATTTCACGTTATAATAGATATAAACTACTACTTTCATTATTAATTGGTTTGAGATGGAACCGATGAATATTAATATGATATCAGAGTTCAAAATACTCAAACGAGCACTCGATAAAAAATGAGATCTGACCAAGATCAATCAGTCAAAAGAGCCACGATCTTGAGAGGATAGGTTAAGAATCTCACATTATAATCAACCTGCAATATTTCTCTCATTGCAAATTTTGAGATATAACTTTGTCTAGTAAGTATATGTATCTCCTACCATTAAAAGATTTACATATAAGAGATGAATAGAGATTAAAAAAAATATTTATTTATTTATTTTCTAAAAGAGCATATTCCATATGGTTTAGGATATTAATCAAGACATAATTAAAGTAACAACATTTTTTGAAAAGGTCCATATAATTTTGAGCAATAACACTACATTAGAAAATTACATTGTTACCTTAATAATCTCTTTCATAACTCAAAACAAAGTAATAAAGTATCTAAAAATGAGTGTAGATAGATAGATATTTATAAAAATATTATGAATCAATTTTTTTAATAATTTGATTTTATTATATTAATATTTTCAATACATATTGTCACAATTAAAGTAATAAAATTAAAGATAAGAATCATAAGATAAGGTTAAAAAAGATTGAAAAATAATGTGAATGTCTTCCCTCTTCATTCATCCTATCTATGGTAGGCCAAGGGAGATGAACTTTAATGGAAAAAACCAGGGGGCGACGTAGCGGTTTCCACACTCACGTGGGTCCATTCTCGGCCAAGTCTGGGCTTTGGATAATACCAGTTTATGGGTAAAACCAGAATCCAAAAACCCACCAAAGAATCGGTATAAAGTTCCACAATTCGGGAGCTCGAAGAGGCATTCCAAAAATTTGAATTCATCTTCGTTTTCTCTGTGAGGCATTTCATCGAACAGTTGGCGAAAATGGGTATTCGTCTGCCGGAGATCATTCTTCACGCTAAGCAAATTACTCACCGTGGAGCGCCGTCGCCCCGGCGGGTTGGGTTCGAAGTGATGAAGCACCGGTCGGCCTCGTTGGACGTTCCGAAAGGGCATTTTGTGGTCTATGTTGGGGAGGAAGAAGAAGAGAGGAAGCGATTTGTGGTGCCGTTGTCGTACTTGAAGAATCCTCTGTTCCAAGAATTGTTGAGTCAGGCTGCTGAAGAGTTCGGATTCGAGCATCAACTTGGTGGGATCACGATTCCTTGCGCTCAGGATCATTTTCTGGGTCTAACTTCTCGATTAAACAGACCCATAAGCTCAAAATGAAAGAAGTGAGAACCCATTTGCCCTGAAGTATGATCACTGTAAACGATTTCAATTTTGCATATGGTCGTAGAAATGGTAGAGCTCTGTAAATTTATCGAAGATATTGATATATTAGGGCCTTTCAGATGATTTTCCATTTCCTGTTCTATTCAATTCAAAAACTGAATCAATGGATCATTAGAGTCTGTTAACTTTCTCCATGAATCGTCGCTATGCTTCCTTTGTGTTCACTGAACTTTCGTCTGTTTATTTTCAATCGGCATGTTTACAAATCACAACGTTTGACATCTAGAAAACTGAACAGAGTAGAATTTTTCCTTTCTTTTAGTATAAACCGTCTGCTTTTCTATTGGTGAAGTTTCATCTTCTATTTTGGGACTTGAGATTGAACTTTCTGAATCGTAGGGACTGGAGGTGATGGGTTCTTTTATATCAAGAACTCTTCTGTATGTAAACACTCTGTTCTTTGGGTTTCTCTTCCTTCCCCTGTTTTTCCTTCTGATAAGGGCTTGAATATCAGTTTGTATGTGACAGAATGGCTTTTGGGTATGTTTATCCTGCTTATGAGTGCTACAAGATTGTGGAGAGGAGTTCATTAGAGATATTCCAACTTCTGTTTTGGTGCCATTATTGGTCTGTAATGGCTGCCCTGTGCTTGAATCTTGCAGCTTAATTTGATTCAACTAAAGAACAGTGTCTAAAGGTTTTCTTTTCAATGTCTGTAGGATTATAGTTGCTTTGCTTACAGTGTTTGAGAGAATGGGAGACCCTTTGATTTCATGGTATGCCAATGTATCTGTTCATTATCTGATCTCTTCCGCGATTTTTTTTAAATCATATTTTTGGGCTTTTGGACTTTTTAGCTTTGGTTGATTTCGGTCAGTCTACTCTACCCAAAACATACATTTTGGTTTCTGTTTTCTTAGCTTTTGTCTATTTTAACCACGTGTCTTGTCCTTTTAAAATGTTTATTTTGGAGAAAGTGATTATTTGAGTCCTAAACAAATCCAATACCCAACAAAAAGCCTTTAATTTGAAACTTCGATGATATTTTAAAAAATAATTGGGTATAGTGTAGGTGAAATTATGATAGGAAAAAAATGAGATGAGAGAAAATATAATGATCGAAATTGTCATCTTTAAAAATATATAAGGATGAAAATGAATGTTTTGAAAGTAAAAAACTTAAATAGATAATAGACGAAGGTACGGGGATCAAAAGGAGACATTTTGAAATAAATGGTCAAAATGAACGAGCTGAAAGGACAATCACCAAAATAAGATTTAAACTTTTTTGAGATCCACTCCTTGTATTACGCTCATGATGCACCGAGGCTAAAACTTAAGTTTTCAACTTGGGACACTATGTCGCCCTCTGGGCGCAGTTCTTGTGTGAGTTTCATCAGCTGATTGTGTTTGTGCATCATTCTTTGTCAAGGCTGCCACTGTACAATGAAGCAAAGCTAGCATTCTTTATATATCTTTGGCATCCTAAAACAAAAGTGAGCATTTCAAAATCTCTAGCTTTATGCATCTTTCCATTTCTGCTGCATTTTCGCCTCGATGAGTAAGTATCTAATGAAGTTTGTTTTCAGGGAACAGCATGTATGTTTCGTTTCGTTCTCCGTCCATTCATAGCGAAACACGAAGCAGAAATCGATCACTACCTGTTTGAACTAAGGCTCAAGGCAGCAGAAGTTGCAGCCTTGTTTTGGCATAAAACAACAAGTTGCAGCCAAACGACGATAATCGACCTGCTGCATAACATTTCATCCCTGCCCGCATCACAGACTCGTAGTAAAAAGGTACTTAAATGAAGAAGATTATAGTTCATCTAGTTATGAAAATGCTTCTGCAGACTCTTAGAAATGTAAAGGAAATGACCTTGAAATGTTATTCTAAGAGGCTTATCCAGTGAATCTTGTTTTGGCAGAATCACAAGAAGGATGAAACTGAATTAGCAGCAAAGGCAACAGAACCTGTGTCAACAATGGAAAATAGAGTTACAGATGATGCAGAGAAGGTAAGTTCTGATGAACAATCGTCGAAACCGAAATGTCAAAAATGGCGGTAGTTATGAAAATGCTTCTGCAGACTCTTAGAAATGTAAAGGAAATGACCTTGAAATGTTATTCTAAGAGGCTTATCCAGTGAATCTTGTTTTGGCAGAATCACAAGAAGGATGAAACTGAATTAGCAGCAAAGGCAACAGAACCTGTGTCAACAATGGAAAATAGAGTTACAGATGATGCAGAGAAGGTAAGTTCTGATGAACAATCGTCGAAACCGAAATGTCAAAAATGGCGGTTTTCTGACCTGTTTTGTGCCAAGTAAGTCTCAGGCTGCTGTAATATTGACATATCCTGGGTTGGATCAAATAAAGAGCGGAGATTTAGAGCTCTGGTTTTTGAAGGAGATTATTGATGCTCGTATTGATGTTTTTTAATATACTAAACACTGATTTATTTCATGATTGTATTATTTCTGTGTATATAGAAGTGCATGATATTGGGTATATTATAAGCTTTTTAATGAGATATATTATATTGTTGGGAGTTGTAGGTTGATAATGGCGATTGGTATTTAAGAGTACGAGGTTTGCCTTTTAGTTCGTACGAGGTTTGCCTTTTAGTTCGTGTTAGTTCGTGTCAATGTGAGTACGACTTGATTAAGGTACCTACTTCTGATTTAAAGGTATTGAATTCGAATTCTCACATATTCGAACAATAAGTTGTATTTAAGAAAAGGGAAAAAAAAAGGTTTATTAGATTATACTTGTCATATAAGAAAAAAAAGGGAAAATCAGATTTTCTTTCTATTTTGCCCCTAAACTTTTAGATTTGAAAAATTATACTTGTGTACAAATATTGTTGATTTGTATGAAAAGATGAAAGATTATGTTGATCATATTAACCATTTAGTATTTTGTAACAATTACATTTTTTGTTTAAATTTCTTCATCATTTTTAAAGCATTTATTTTAATCCCTTTATATTAATACATGTACTTTTTAAATATTCTTTTTCGTCTTTATACTCACCGTTTTATTTTTTATTTTAATTTAATTTCATTTATTTCGATCATAATTTTAACATAATATTTTATTCGAAACAGATGGATTAAAATAGATAAAAAAATATAATAAATATTTTGAAAATAGATTAATGAAAATAAACCAAAATCAAAATTATATGGAAAATAATATTCTGACCTTATATCTTATTGATTTTCCAATATGTCATAATCTGAAATGTCAAAGTTTTATCCTTTCATAGAATAATTGAAATTGAGAAAACATTCCACCGCTTGAATTAGAGATTCTTTGTAACTATTCCTTTTTCCATTGATTTATTATTTTATTATAATTATCATATTTCCAAAGAGAAAAACATATGTCACATTTTCTGACAATAAATTTATTTATTTTATGATAATGATATGGAAACTTTCCTCTCAAATTCATTAAGTATTATGTCGTGTAAATTTATAATCAATCAAATTTTAACATTCATGAAAATGATAGTTTAAATTAGAAAATGTTAAAATTACATAGGATAATAAATTAAATAAAATACCTAGAAATATTAAAGATTTTTTTTAGAACAATAAGTTTGGAGTATGGAAATTTGAATATCCAATTATATGTATTTATGACATTAAATATTAAGAACTAAAATTATTTGATTGATAGAATTTTATCTTTTCATTTATTTTAGATTTACTAGCTGAAAATTTTATTTAACTGAACACGAGTGCGTGATGGGCACGTGTAGGAGAGGCGCGTCGGTCTAAAGTTGAAAGCGACAAAATATATTAAAATTTTGGAAAAAGAAAAAAGGTCGGGTGTCCGGCCCAAGCCCCTTACCGCCCCACGTGTCTCCACCACATACGTATTAGTGGTCATCAATACTCTCCCCATTTTTCTCTTTTTTCTTAATTTTGATTTTGCCCTAGCTCATATAGGGGCAAAATAGGAAATTCCACCACCACACTTTTTTTTATTTGAAGAACATGTGATGGTGGGGATTCGAACCTCCCACTTTTTAGTCAATCATATATGTTTGACTAGTTGAATTATGTTCAGATTGATTTCTACGCATACACTTTCTTGAAGGTTGTAGCCAAAGTGTATCATCTAGGATTAAATTCGCATACATGTCCATGTCAACATCGTTCATAAAAGATTTGGATTTGAGCTATGACGATAGAAGCTTCGAACGAACACCCACGTACAATAAACTCTGCACACCAATATTGTGTTAGATTTGATACAGTGTGATGCCTAAGTCAAACAATAGATTAAGTTGGGTGGAACATTAAGTAGGATCTGTATGAGGTCCCTTCGGTAGTTTATTTACTTCTCAATTCATTTGAATTGCCTATAATTTGAATTCCAACAATGATTTTGCTGATTCTTTGGGATTTCCAAAGGGCTAACATGCAAGATCCTTAGTGATGTGTTCGTGATTTATTACGATGTTAGAGTGGTAAAGCCTCTTAGTCATGATATTGGCTTGGCTATCTCAATCTCAAGGTCTTAGTAGTCAACTTGGCCATCTAAGGCCTTTTAGTCTTGATGACCAATTTGGCGACTCGACTAGATTGGCTTGGACAAGTTGGTTAGATCCTTATTTTCACTCCTCATTGTAATAAATTGTTTAATAAATAGATGATATATATGTCAATATGTGCATTAAGACACTAATATGTATTAAACTATACCGGTGGACTTTTTTAGAACAAAAAATATAGGATTGAAAATTTTAACCTTCCCTAGAAGAATAAGATGTCTTTAAGTTCTTAATCGCATGCTCTCTAACAAACTACTTTTTCTTAAAACACATTTTATGAAATAGTTCTAACTAAAATATTGATGTATTTACTTTCTTAAAAGTTATTTTAAATACGGGTCGAGTTTGTTTGGTTGTACTATATCTAAAAACAAATCTATAAATATCAAAATACCATAAAATAATTCTTAATCGCCCTATTTATTCACACAATTACATGATTATAAACAAATTTAATTATTTTTAAAGTAATTTTTATTTGCTACGAACCTACGAGACATTAAAAAAGAAAGAGAAAAAAATTTCTGACACTGTAAAATAAATTGGATAAATATCATTCAAAGCTCAAAGCCCAAAGCTCCATCACTATCGAGTTGACAATGGTCGATTTCTGAGGCCAACAACAAATCCGTTTCGGAGTACGAAAGCAAACAGAGGGTTCCATTCGCCCCTTCTTCACAAGCTGCCATTTTTCTCTCTGTTGCATTTAAGGCCAAGATTGAAGATTCAGTGAAGCAGAACCAGCCAACGACCCCATCACCACCATTTCCAATACCCCTTTCTCTCTCTCTCTCTGCTCGTGCGACTCACAGGACTCACGCCAAAAGCTCGCACAGTTCACAAGACTTGAGAATCCAAAGCAGGGTACCGGAATTTAATGGACGCTTCTGCTTCAGATTCATCTTGCCCAATGAACAGAACTACAGGACAGGTTCTGGACGGTTCAGAAATTATGGAGTTGGTTGCCAACAACCAAGTCTTCGCCTCTTTCGTCGACCATAAGTTTCGCGAGCTCGACACCGACAAAGACGGCAAACTTTCCCTCAAAGAGCTCCACCCTGCTGTCGCCGACATTGGAGCCGCTCTCGGCCTACCTCCTCACGGCACTTCCCCTGATTCTGACAACATTTACTCTGAGGTTCCTTTCGCTTTCTTTCTTCTAATTTTCCTTCTCCCCTCTTAACTTAAGATTAGGGTTCCCCCCCTTTTTTCTTTTTACTAGATTTTGTAGAAACTTGGATTCCTCCTGGAAATTCCGAATGCGAATTGGGTTTTTCTTTTTACCCTGTTTTCTCCATTAGGTTTTGTAGAAACTTTGATTCCTCATTGGGTT